TTCAGCCCCGTCCTTGCCTTTTAACCCCTTATACGCCAGAGCAACCCGTTAACCCTCTCATTGCCAACAGTGCAAAACCAGCCTGGACCGGGGGGGGGGGGGGGATTTTGCAGCAGGAGCTTCCAAAATGGTCATGAAAAGAGGCATTTCCCCGGGATATTTTACACCAAAGCCATCAGCTGCAGGGCTCAAAGTCCCGGAAGGTGCCTCCACATCCCCATTCAGCTGCATTTCCCCCACACCACTAAGAAAAGACCCCAAAATACACTATATATTAAATCAGCGCAAGGACCCCCCGTTTGTATGCACTTAAAGGCAATATCCCGGCTACAAACTGCCCCCACCTTACCTATTTCATCGGTGTTTGGGGCTGTTTTCCCCACTGGGAAAGGAGTTTCCTGCCGCTGCCAAGGCCAGCACACCCCAGCTGCTGTTGCCCAGCCCTGCTGGAAAACACCCCTGGCAAACACATTCAGTAGCTGTCAGGTTTATTCCGGCTTGGAACCAGCCAAACAAGCCAGGCAGAAGTAAGCAAATAAATATATATATATATATATATATATATATATATATATCCCTTTATCCTGGTGCCCTTCGCATGGCTTGCAGGCAGCCGGAAAAGCCCACTTTTTCCTTTGGGATTGCTGCTTATGGAGGGGCTGAGCCCTGCCAGGAAAACCTCTTTGCCAGAGGGAACAGCACCCCAGCATCATGGTGGAGAGGGCTTTATCCCCTTTATCCCAATATCTGGAAAGGGGAGGCCCTCCACAGACCCTTCTGGGGGTCTGGGTAGCAGGAAAAGCATCTCAGTGGCAATGATTGATAGAAATTGAAGCCATCAGTTCTAGGTTTTCAGGTGGCATTTGAATCTTGAATCAAGCCCTCCCAAAGGAGCAAAGGGAGGGGGATTGCACCCTAAACCAGCTCTGCACAGGCAAAGAGGAGGGAGCAAAGAACACCCAAAGCGCCCACCCCTTTTGCAGGCAGAAATGCATCCATGGGGTGCAGACAGCACCGAGGAAGGTCTCAGTGCACCCACAGCTCTACATAGGGACCATGTACGTACAGATCCATGCGGACATACAGGGACTGACCCTCCGGTGAGTCACTGCTGCCTGGCAATTACTCAGTTTGCCACCATGGTTGCATTGGCAAAAGGGGTGAGTTTGTGCATGCACCGAATTAGACTGCATCCCCCCCCACACCTGGGTACCCTACACCCGCAGCAGCACCCTGCAACCCCCCTCACCAGGGTGCACCCTGGTGCATTCACCACCCTGAACCCCCAAACACTCACCCCGTGCCCAGCAAAACTGGGAGCAAGTTGGGATTTGGGTGCTCACAGCCGACGTGTGGGTGCCTGGGAGCACTGAGTCAGGCAGGGCTGGGTGCCAGTGGCAGCAGGGCTGGGCCACCCTAGGGTGCTGGGAGCTGAAACACCCCCCCAGAATAAACCCCTTCCAAATCAAAGTAGATTAAATATAAACCATCACCCTGCAGAGCATCTCCTCTGCGAGCCAAGGGGCTCGGACCAGCAAAGAGCCCCATCAAACCCCACTTGCGGGGCTGCATCGTTGCACCCTACAAGGATTAAGGGTGCTTTTCCAGCTCCTTGCATGGAAGGAATCTCATGCACCTCCTGCTTATACGCAGAGCAACCTCCTTTGAGCCAAAAGAAGTCTATCAACTCGGTTTTATGCATCCACAAGACACCAGGGATGGAGGTTGTGGGGCTGGAGTCACCCCCAGTGATTTACCCCTGCCTACCAAAGGGTGCTTTTTGCATCAAGGACCCAAACCTTCACCCCTCCAGGGACGGCTCCATAGGAGATTTAGGCAAGCAAACAGCTTACACCCATGCTCAGCCCTTAAATAAGCATCAGCCTCCTCCCTCTTTTGCAGTGATGCTGATGGAGCCCAGCTGATGGACCCTCATCCTGCCCCAGCTGCTGGTTCCGGGTTTAAAATGCAAACCCCATGTAAATTACCCCTCCTCCCTCGCTAGGTTCACACCCTCCCCATAAAGCTTTACAATACCTAGCAGAGGAACCCAATAAACCTGTTTTTATGGGTGCGAACAGAGGCTTTTTCAAGGAGCTTGAAGTATTTGGTGTTTAAATATCCGCTGGAGCGCACTGGGTGCTGTGTGTGACTCAGGTGATGTGCATGGAGGGAGGTGGTGGCTTAAATGTAATCAATCCGTGTGAATACATACATATATATATATATTTATAGAGATCGATGTAATTGGGGTGATGGAGCCGGTCCAGGGATGCCCTCTGCTGGCATCCTCCCCTGTAAGGCTTTGGGACACCTTCTCCAAGAGGTTTCCCAGCTTCTCCAGAGCTTTTTCCTTGGGAAAGCCTTGCAGGGAGGCCCCAAAAGCTGCTGCCCATGAAGGGGCCGGAGCTCTCGGTGCATGGCACAAGGATGCAGCAGAGCAGCTGGGCTGGTTCTCCCACCGGTGTCCCAGGAAAACCCCCTCAGAGGTGCACAAACCCGCCTTGCAGGGCGTGTGGATGCAAGCTTGGGAGCACGCACTCATCCGTTCAGCCCATCCCTTGCTTCCTCCACATCTCCCAGCCATGCAATGCCCAGCAAAATCCTCCTGGAGCCCCATCTCCCGTCAGCATCCCGCTGGCCGGAGGCAAACCAGACCTTCAATTCCCCTCTCACACTAAGTGCTCGGGGTGCGCTTCACCCGGGGGATAAATCCCCTTCCAAAGCACCCAAAACACTCGTTTAAAGACCTCGGCGGTGCAAAAGGAGTCTGGAAAGGGACCTGGATTCATTGCAGCACCTCCCATGGGATGCACCAGCCCGTTTCTGGCTCCCTGGCTGCGGGCAGGGCATGCAAATACCCCTGGATCCCATTCCCACGCCGCACCCTCTGCCCTGGACAGCGGGATTCCTGCAGAGCTCTTGCTGCAAACCCCCTTTTCCCCTTGCTGTGGGCGCATCCAAGCATCCCCATCCCCAGGGATACCCCAAATACCATTGGCTGGGGATGCAAACGCGGCCGGATCGGGGATTGAAGAAGGAGAAACAAGGCCAAGGTTACCCAAGGTGAGTCGCTCCCCACCCCAGACTCCCTTGGGAATTGACAGGTAAGACCAGTTTTTCCTTATCCAAGTTACAAACCAGTTTAACCCGCAGCCTGATGCAACCGCCTCCAAACCTTCCCATCCACCCTGTCCAACCCAGTGGCCATTCGGGGGGGGGAATCCCATTTTTAGGAACAACAGCCCAGGTTGCAGCACTGGCAGCGTTTGAGTTACACCATGCTGCTATCGGTGTCATGAGAAACCCCTAAATAAAGCAAGTCCCCCATCTGCTACTTGGGAGCAACGCTTTTAAGTTTCTTTTTTTGGCCAGAATTAGGGCTAAAAGCTGCCAAGTAATTCCCAAAATATCCCAGATTTTCAGGGAAAGGGGCAAGGAGGTGCCTGGGAGGGGAATTTGGCCGGGCGCTCGGGCTGCAGGCTGCAACACATCCCATAGGTGAGAGGCATCCTCACCACCAAATTACTCCTCAGCAGCAAAAACCCTTTTAAATCCACCAGGTTTTTTGGGATGCTGAAGGTCTGAGGCGCCTCTTTCCCTCCTTCCCTTGGGAATACATCCCAGATTTTACCCCATCCAACCTTTGATCTTCCCAAGCCAGCCGGAGCATCGGAGGTTGCCGCGCTGAGATGCTTCGTGGATGATCTGGTGAGTAGATGTTCATTTATTTCTCCCCTTTAAAGCACTGAGGAGGTTGTTCTGTTCTGAAGTCACACCAGGCTTTTCCAGCAGTTGGGAATTTCAGGGTGGGATTCGCAAATGGTGCCCACCAGCATCCCGTGGGCCTGGGCCTTCACGTTTGAAAATGCATCACAAAGTGTAAATGCATCAAATATCCATCCTATGGATGAAGGTTTGGGATGAAGGGAGCTTAAGGCTCCTCCAGCTCCAACCCCTGCCACGGGCAGGGACCCCTTCCACTAGAGCAGCTTGCTCCAAGCCCCTGGGTCCAACCTGGCCTTGAACACTGCCAGGGATGGGGCAGCCACAGCTTCCTTGGAATCTTCCCTCGCTTTGCAAGGAGATGAATGTGACTTTGCTCCTCTAAAACAGCCTCCAATAAAGCAAATCATGCAAAATGTGTATTTCCTGGGGGAAAAAACACTCAGCAATAACAGCAGTGAGTGTATTTATTTATGAGGGGGACACTCTGCAGTAAAGGCAAAATGTCCATTTCTTTCATAGGGAAAAATCAGTGCAATAAAGACAACATGCCCATTTATTTCCCAGGGAAGTATCAGTGCAATAAAGGCAACATGTCCATTTATTTCATAGGAAAAATCAGTGCAATAAAGGCAATATGTCCATTTATTTATAAGGAAAAATCAGTGCAATAAAGGCAATATGTCCATTTATTTCATAGGGAAACTTCAGTGCAATGAAGGCAATACGTCCATTTATTTATAAGGAAAAATCAGTGCAATAATGGCAATATGTCCATTTATTTATAAGGAAAAATCAGTGCAATAAAGGCAATATGTCCATTTATTTATAAGGAAAAATCAGTGCAATAAAGGCAATATGTCCACTTATTTATAAGGAAAAATCAGTGCAATAAAGGCAATATATCCATTTATTTATAAGGAAAAATCACTGCAATAAAGGCAATATATACGTTTATTTATAGGGAAAAATCACTGCAATAAAGGCGACATGTCCATTTATGTCGTGGGAGAAAACCCCTTTGCACTAGGGGCAATGTGCTCATTGGGGGGGGGTGTGAAATCCCTTTGCAACAGAGCCTATTTCCCCCTTCCAAACCCACTCCTGCGCTTTCCCCTTTGCGAACCCCCCTTTTCGCTCTCTTTCCTCCTCCGCTCTCGTCCTCGCCGAGTCTTCCTGTCCTAAAGATGGAGCTGTGCGTGCCGCGCCGGACCCTGCAGCCTCTTCCTTCCCTAAAGCAGGGCGATTTTTGCCCCCCCCTTCCCTTTCCCCTTCCCCTTCCTGCCCGTACATGTGTTTCTGTTTTGTATCGCAGCGTTTTGCGCTGCAGGCTCGTATTTACATTGCAAGTGCATCTGGTGGGTGGGCGCTGAGGGAGGGCGAAGGGGGAAAAAAGGGAAGGCGAGGGGAAGATTTACCTCCTTTCTCTCTACGGCAGGAAACACCGCCACAAACATTGCCGAGGCGCCGAGTTGTTGCTTGCTTTATGCTGCGCCCATCGCCCTAAAATCAGGTTTGGAATTTGGGGGGGGGGATAAGGGGGGATGGGAGGAGGAGGAGGAGGGGGAAAAAGGGATGGGGGATGGGGTAAAATCCTGGGAAAGAAAAGGAATGGGGAAGAAAGGAGAAGGAAGGCGGATCCACGTGGTGCTGGGGCCAGACAGGGATCCCATTGTTCCCGGCGATAATAAAGGGGAAATCAAAGAGTTAAAGTAAAGGGGGGGGGGGGGGGGAGGAGAAAGCGGGGCCGCGCAGGGGCTGCGATCCGGTTTGGACCCCCCCCCCCAAACACCAACCCCTCCAACCCCCCCCTCCGCCAACCCAAGCCAATAGCAAAGGGCAGCGGCAGCCGGAGCACAAGCGGGGGCCCCCCCGCGAGCAGGTGGGGTTTGGGGGGAGCGGGGACCCCCAACACCACCCCCCCCACACCGTGCACTGTTGGGGGGCGGGATCGCTGCCTCCGGGACGTTTTGTTCCCCCCCCCCCCTTTACAAACAGGCTCCTTGCCCACCCCCCCGTTAACCCCCCCATCCCCTTCCTCCCAGCGTACCCCCAACCCCCCCCTTTGCCCCCCAAAATCCTCCGTTCCCCCCCCCCCCCATTTCCCCCCCTTTCCACTTCCCCCCCAGTGCAGTTGGGGTCTGGGGGGGTCCCGTCCCCCCCTCCCCTCAGTTCCGCAGGGCCTGGGCCGGGCCGGGCCTGGCGGTGACGGCGGCTCCCGCTGCAGGCTCCATGCCCCGCAGGAAGGCGGCGGGGCCGCCCTGGGAAGCGGCCCCGGGGAACGGGGCTGCGGCAGCGGGGAGGCGGCGGCCGGGCCCGGCGGCGGGAGCGCGGCGCAGGCCGAGGCCTGAGCGCGGCGGCGGAGCAGGAGGAGGAGGAGGAGGAGGAGGCGGCAGCAGCGGCGGCAGCAGCGAGGAGGAGGCGCCCCGGGAGCGGCGGCCCCGGGACGGGAGCCCCGGCGGGAGGAGGCCCGGCAGGCCCGGCGGAGGGGCAGCGGGAGCGGCGGGACGGGGACCGAGCGTCGTCATCTGCGAGCCCGAGCACAGCAAGGAGCGCATCGTGAGGGAGTCGGCACCCCGGAACCCCCCCTTGTCACCCCGGAACCCCCCGTGACCCCCGCACCCCCCTTGTGACCCCCGGAACCCCCCTTTGTCACCCCCGGAACCCCCCTTTGTCACCCCCGGAACCCCCCTTTGTCACCCCCGGAACCCCCCCTTGTGACCCCCGGAACCCCCTTGTGACCCCCGGAGCCTCCCCGTGACCTCCGCACCCCCCCCTTGTGACCCCCGGAACCCCCTTGTGACCCTCAGACCCCCCCTTGTGACCCCCTGGAGCCCCCCTTGTGACCCCTGGAGCCCCCCTTTGTCACCCCCGGAATCCCACTTGTGACCCCCACACCCCCCCTTGTGACCCCTGGATTCCCCTTGTGACCCCCGGAACCCCCCCTTGTGACCCCTGGAGCCCCCTTGTGACCCCCTGCCCCGTCCCTTGTGACCCCCACACCCCCACTTGTAAACCCCTGCCCCCCCCTTGTGACCCCCGCACCCCCCCCTTGTGACCCCTGGAACCCCCTTTGTGACCCCCGCACCCCCCCTTGTGAACCCTGCACCCCCCTTGTGACCCCCGCACCCCCCCCTTGTGACCCCTGCACCCCCCTTGTGACCCCCGCACCCCCCTTGTGACCCCCGCACCCCCCCCTTGTAACGTCCCCTGGTACCCCCATCACCCCCCATTGTAACCCCTCCTTGTACCCCCTTAACCCCCCTGTACCTCCCCTTGTATCCCTGGTACCCCCCCTTGTACCTTCCTGCACACTCCTTGTACCCCCTGCATCTCCCCCCCTTGAAACTCCCCCTTGTACCCTCTTATACCTCTTGTGTCTCCCCTTTATCCCCCCTGTACCCCCCATAACCCCCCTTGTACCCCCCGCACCCCCTTATACCCCTCTGTACCCCTTTATACCCCATTGTACCCCTTTGCACACCCCTAATGCATCCCTCTTCTGTACTCACTAATGCACCCCTTAGCACAGCCCCCCTTGTACCCCTGCATTGCAGCCCCCCACTGAAACCCCAATACGCTTTCCAATGCACCCCCCCATTGCACCCCCTAATATCCCATATGACACCCTCTTAGCCCCCCCGGTGCACCCCACCATTGCATCCCACCACTGTACCCCCATCCTACCCCCCCATTGCACCCTTTTATAGCCCTCCCCTAGAGCATCCCATGATGTACCTCCCCCTGCACCCCCATTGCACCCCGTTAACACCTTCCAACACCCCCCTAATGCACCCCCCCTTTACCTGCCTTCATCGTGTGCCCCCAGCCCCTCTCCCAAGTTGCACCCCCAAAGTTGCACCCCTTCTTTTGCACCCAGTGCTCCCCCTTATTGAGCCACTTCATTGCCCCCCACGAGCCGGGGTTGCAGAGGAATGGGGTGCCCTGGCTTTGGGGGTGGTACTGCAGAATGTTCCCCCACCATGTCCCTACATCCCCCATGTCCACAGCATCCTCTGCATCTGCCTTGTCCCCAGTGTCCCACATTTCCCCCCATGTTCCCCACATCCTCCACATCCCAGATGTCTCCCGGTGTTCCCCACATCCTGATGTCCCCCATGTCCCTCAGATCCCCAGTGTCTCCCATGTCCTTGATGTGCCTCGTGTCCCTTCTGTCCCAGATGTCCCCTGCATCCTCTTTGTCCCCCACATCCCTGATATCCCCCATGTTCCTCCACATCCCCAATGTCCCACATGTCCCTGATTGTTCCTCATGCCCCCCATCCCTATTGTTCCCATGTCCCTACCCCCACATCCCTGTGGTCCCCCATGTTCCCTTCGTCCTTGATATCTCCCATGTTTCAAATAATCCCCATGTCTCCCATGTCCCCTACATCCTTGATGGTCCCTCATGTCCCCTGTGTCCTCCCAGTCCCCCATACCCTTGATGTCCCCCACATCCCTGATGTCCCCATGTTCCAGATGTCCCTCCCATCCCCAATGTCCCCCATGTCCCCTGTGTCCTCCCAGTCCCCCATGTCCCTGATGCTTCCCCATGTCCCTGATGTCCCCCCCATCCCCAGTGTCCCCCATGTCCCCTGTGTCCTCCCGGTCCCCCATGTCCCTGATGCTTCCCCATGTCCCTGATGTCCCCCCATCCCCACTGTCCCCCATGTCCCTGATGTCCCCCCCATCCCCAATGTCCCCCATGTCCCTGATGTCCCCCCATCCCCAATGTCCCCCCATGTCCCTGATGTCCCCCCATCCCCAATGTCCCCCATGTCGCTGATGTCCCCCCATCCCCAATGTCCCCCATGTCCCTGATGTCCCCCCAATCCCCAATGTCCCCCATGTCGCTGATGTCCCCCCATCCCCGATGTCCCCCTATCCCCAATGTCCCCCATGTCCCTGATGTCCCCCCATCCCCAATGTCCCCCATGTCCCGACGTCTCCCCCATGTCCCGATGTCCCCCATGTCCCGATGTCCCCCATGTCCCTGATGTCCCCAATGTCCCCCATGTCCCTGATGTCCCCCATCCCCGATGTCCCCCATGTCCCCTCTCCCTGGGGCACTGATGGTTTCCTGGTTCCTTGCAGAAGCTCGAGGGCTCCAAGAGCCGGGGGCAGCTCCTCATCTTCGGGGCCACCAACTGGGACTTGATCGGCCGCAAGGAAGTGCCTAAGCAGCAAGGTGAGGGCTGTGCCTTGGTCCCGTTTCCCAGCTCACTGTTGTTAATTGATGGTTAATTGTTACTGAATTGATACCTGGGGGTTGTTCCCGCTGCAGTCAGGGCCAGCACTTGGGGCTCCTGCAGAGCAAAACGGGGGCGTTGCTGCTTCTTGTTGCCTTCATAGGGAATTCTTTGTCCTGTTCATTTCCAATGTGCTTCTATTTAATTGCTTTTATTAATTAGCATCTTGGAGGGGCTGTTTTACAGCTGCAGCCTAAGGCCAGAAGCTGAGGTGCGCCACATCCCCTGCAGCGTGAACTAAAGGCGCTGCTCGTTTGGGGGGCATTTCTAGTTCATTACTTTTCCTGCTGCATTTTAGTGCAGTTCGGTTGCATGTCTTTGTTTCTGCTTATTTTTAGTGCATTTAATTCCATGATTAATTAATTGGGAGGGGAAGTTGCAGTTGCATGTCATAAGCTGGGCCACAACTTGGGGTGCACCCATCTTCTCCAAAGCCGGATGAAGGCGCTGCTGGTTTTTGATGCGTTTCGATTGAACTGTACATTCCCTGCTCCTTTTTGATGCGCTTAATTGGAATTATTGTTTCGTTAATTAATGGCTTTGGGGTTGTTTTGGGTTCCCTTTGCAGTTGCCTATCGGAATCTGGGCCAGAACCTGTGGGGGCCGCACAGGTACGGGTGCCTCTCAGGTATTCAGGTGCGGAGCGTGGTGTCAGGACCCTGCGCTGCTCACAGCCTGCTCATCACCACCGAGGGCAAGCTCTGGAGCTGGGGTGAGCACTGGTACCCCAAAACCACCCCGAGCTTCCCCTTTGGGCACAGCAGGAGGCTTCGTCTTCCCGTTTTGCTGCAAAAAACACTGATTTTGGGTTAGGTCGCAATGAAAAGGGGCAGCTGGGACATGGGGACACGAAGCGGGTGGAAGCGCCAAAGCTCATCGAGGTGCTGGGGGGTGAAGCCATCGTGCTGGCAGCCTGTGGTCGAAATCACACCCTGGCACTCACAGGTAAGGAAAACCCTCTCATGTTTAGGATCAGTTGGCTGAAATCAGCTCATTTTGCCCCAAACACCTCTGCTTTTTGGGTGTTTAGTTGGGTTTTTTGCCTTGCAGAGAGCGGCTCCGTGTTTGCCTTCGGGGAGAATAAAATGGGGCAGCTGGGGCTGGGGAACCAGACAGACGCCGTGCCCAGCCCCACACAGGTATCGCTGCCCCTTCCTGTGCTTTCCCTCACCTTTTTGGGTGAAAAGACAGCAGATTTGGGTTTTTTTCTGCTGAAAAATAGCCTTAGCAGAGGCCAACCCCCTTTTGGGGCATCCCACTGCGGGAGAGATCCATTTGCAGTTGCAGTTGGAGAGCAAACTTCAGTAATTTAAAATAACTCCCCAAGGTTTGAGGAATTTGGGGGTTTCTGTGTGGAAAATCAGCTTTTTGCCTTTCTCTGCTTGTTTTTCCTACCCTCTTTTCCTGGCTTCTCCCGCAGATCATGTACAACGGGCAGCCCATCACCAAACTGGCCTGTGGTGCTGAATTCAGCATGATCATGGATTGCAAAGGAAACCTTTACTCCTTTGGGTGCCCTGAGTATGGGCAGCTGGGTACGGTGCTCTTTTGGGGTGGGGTTTGCTAATTCCTTGGGCTATTACAGGGTTGGGAGAGGGGGGAAAAGCTCCCCATCTGGGCAAGCAAAGCATCATTCCTCCCATTCACCCCCAGCAAAAGCAGTGGGGTGGGAGCTGCGAATAAAAAGGGGTTTGCAAGAGAAGGGGATTAATGCAGCTGGTTTGGGAGTAGTGGGATGCGGGGTTGGGGATACCCCGTGTTCATCCCAGTACTCATCCCCCCCCCCCTCCCCAGGGCATAATTCCGATGGGAAGTTCATTGCCCGAGCGCAGCGGATCGAGTACGACTGCGAGCTGGTGCCGCGCCGCGTGGCCATCTTCATCGAGAAGACCAAAGATGGGCAGATCCTGCCCGTCCCCAACGTGGTGGTGCGGGACGTGGCGTGCGGGGCCAACCACACGGTAGGCATTGGCTGCTGCAGCACTAAGGGATGGCATGGATAAAGGTTTGCGGCCTGGATGCAAGGGGAAACGCTTGTGGGAGCCTTTAGGGCTAAACGTTAGCAGAGGGCATGTGAGGATAAAGATCCGCAGGGTGCATGGGAGGATAAAGATCTGCAGCACATACTTGAGGCTGGAGATCTGCAGCGTGAGTTAAGGAGGAAGTTCTGCAGCAAGCATGTTAAGGATGAAGATCTGCAGTTAAGGGTAAAGTTTTGTGCTGTGGATTTATGGATAGGTATTGTAGGGTGCTTTTAAGGCTTAAGATTTGCAGGGTGCGTTCAAGGGTCGAGGTTTGCAGCCTGCATTTAAGGATAAAGATTTGCACTGTGCATCTATAAAGATCTGTGTTGAGCATATAAGTGTAAATACTTGCAGCGTGCATTTCAGGATGAAGATTTGAGGCCTGCATTTAAAGATTGAGATTTGCAGCTTGCATTTCAGGACAGAGATTTGCAGCATGAATTTAAGGCTGAAGATTTGCAGCATAAATTTAAGGACTGAGATTTGCACCCTGCATTTAAGGATAAAGTTTTGCTGTGTGCATTTATGGATAGAGATTCGTGTTGTCCATATAAGTATAAATACTTGCAGCCTGCATTTAAGGACTGAGGTTTGCAGCCTGCGTTTAAGGACTGGGATTTGCAGCCTGCGTTTAAGGACTGGGATTTGCAGCCTGCATTTAAGGACTGGGATTTGCAGCCTGCGTTTAAGGACTGGGATTTGCAGCCTGCATTTAAGGACTGGGATTTGCAGCCTGCATTTAAGGACTGGGATTTGCAGCCTGCATTTAAGGACTGGGATTTGCAGCCTGCGTTTAAGGACTGGGATTTGCAGCCTGCGTTTAAGGACTGAGGTTTGCAGGCTGCATTTAAGGACTGGGATTTGCAGCCTGCATTTAAGGACTGGGATTTGCAGCCTGCGTTTAAGGACTGAGATTTGCAGCCTGCGTTTAAGGACTGGGATTTGCAGCCTGCGTTTAAGGACTGGGATTTGCAGCCTGCGTTTAAGGACTGGGATTTGCAGCCTGCGTTTAAGGACTGGGATTTGCAGCCTGCGTTTAAGGACTGGGATTTGCAGGCTGCGTTTAAGGACTGGGATTTGCAGGCTGCGTTTAAGGACTGGGATTTGCAGCCTGCATTTAAGGACTGAGGTTTGCAGCCTGCATTTAAGGACTGAGGTTTGCAGCCTGCATTTAAGGACTGGGATTTGCAGCCTGCATTTAAGGACTGGGATTTGCAGCCTGCATTTAAGGACTGGGATTTGCAGCCTGCGTTTAAGGACTGGGATTTGCAGCCTGCGTTTAAGGACTGGGATTTGCAGCCTGCATTTAAGGACTGAGATTTGCAGCCTGCATTTAAGGACTGGGATTTGCAGCCTGCATTTAAGGACTGGGATTTGCAGCCTGCATTTAAGGACTGGGATTTGCAGCCTGCGTTTAAGGACTGGGATTTGCAGCCTGCGTTTAAGGACTGAGATTTGCAGCCTGCGTTTAAGGACTGAGATTTGCAGCCTGCATTTAGGGACTGAGATTTGCAGCCTGCATTTAAGGAGGACTGGGCATTTAAGGACTGAGGTTGCAGCCTGCATTTAAGGACTGGGATTTGCAGCCTGCGTTTAAGGACTGGGATTTGCAGCCTGCGTTTAAGGACTGGGATTTGCAGCCTGCGTTTAAGGACTGGGATTTGCAGCCTGCGTTTAAGGACTGGGATTTGCAGCCTGCGTTTAAGGACTGGGATTTGCAGGCTGCATTTAAGGACTGAGGTTGCAGCCTGCATTTAAGGACTGGGATTTGCAGCCTGCGTTTAAGGACTGGGATTTGCAGCCTGCGTTTAAGGACTGGGATTTGCAGCCTGCATTTAAGGACTGGGATTTGCAGCCTGCGTTTAAGGACTGGGATTTGCAGCCTGCATTTAAGGACTGGGATTTGCAGCCTGCATTTAAGGACTGGGATTTGCAGCCTGCATCCAGCCCTTGCCATACTCTGCCGTCGATGCCGTTTGCTGTGGCTGCCGCAGCTTTCCCTGCACCGAGCCGGTTGGGTCTCAGCTGCTCACGCTCAGAGGTGATGTTTCTCCATCCCCAGCTCGTCCTGGACTCTCAGAAGCGCGTTTTCTCCTGGGGCTTTGGGGGCTACGGGCGCCTGGGCCACGCCGAGCAGAAGGACGAGATGGTGCCTCGCCTGGTCAAGCTCTTCGACTTCCCAGGGCGCGGAGCAGCGCAGATCTACGCTGGGTACACGTGCTCCTTCGCCGTCAGCGAGACAGGTCAGGCCTCGGGGGGGTTTAAAGCATCAATCTGGGGTGGTTTGGGGGTGCGCTGACCGCTGATGTTGGGGTTTGCAGGCGGCTTGTTCTTTTGGGGTGCCACCAACACCTCCCGGGAGTCCACCATGTACCCTAAGGCTGTGCAGGACCTCTGTGGCTGGAAGATCCGCAGCCTGGCCTGTGGGTAAGTCCAGCCCCCTCCCAAACCACCCCAGCTGCCTGGGATTTGGGGGTGTGGGGTGGAATGGGGGGGACACGGGGTCACCTTGCCTCGGCTCCACTGCAGGAAGAGCAGCATCATCGTGGCAGCGGATGAGAGCACCATCAGCTGGGGGCCCTCACCCACCTTCGGGGAACTGGTGAGAAGGGTTTAGTGGGGACCCCCCCACCCCCTTGATCCCCAACCCCCCCCCTCAGCCACTAGTGGGAGGGACTGGGTGCTTCCCACAACTCCTGCATTGATTTTCCCCCCTCTCCATGGGATGCACTTGACAGGGCTATGGGGACCACAAGCCCAAATCCTCGACGGCTGCCCAAGAGGTAAAGACCTTGGATGGGATCTACACAGAGCAGGTGAGCAGGGGGAGCCCCCAGTAAATAACTGCAGTGGCTGAGGCTGTACATAACTCATCACACCCATGGGGTGCTGGAGAGAGGCTGTGTGAGTCCTCCCCTTAAATAAACACAGCAGCTGAGGCCATACACAGCTCCTCACACCCATGGAATGCTGGAAGGAGGGCACATGAGAGCCTCCCCTTAAATAAATACGATGGCTGAGGCTGTACACAGCTCATCACACCCATGGGGTGCTGAAGGGAGGGTGTGTGGAGGCCTCTCCTTAAATAAAGAGAAGGGCTGAGGCCGCACACAGCTCATGACACCCATGGGATGCATTAGAGGGTGTGTGGGGCCCCCTTTAAATAGCTACAGTGGCTGAGGCTGTACACAGCTCATTGCACTCATGGGGTGCTGCAGGGAGGGTGTGGGGGGGCCTCCCCTTAAATAAATGTCATCTGAGGCTGGAGACAGCTCCTCACACCCATGAGGTGCTAAAGGGATGGCATGTGGGAGGGCTCACCTTAAATAAAGGTGGTGGGTGAGGCCGTACACAGCTCATCACACCCATGGGGTGCTGGAGGGGAGGGCATGTGAGAGCCTCCCCTTAAATCAATACAGCAGCTGAGGCCATACACTGCTCATCACACCCATGGGGTGCTAAAGGGAGGTGGAGGGGGGGTTCCCATTAAATGAATACAGCAGTTGAGGCAGTACACTGCTCATCACACCCATGGGGTGCTAAAGGGAGGTGGGGGGGGTTCCCATTAAGTGAATACAGCAGTTGAGGCAGTTCACTGCTCATCACACCCATGGGGTGCTAAAGGGAGGTGGGGGGGGTCCCATTAAATGAATACAGCAGTTGAGGCAGCACACTGCTCATCACACCCATGGGGTGCTAAAGGGAGGTGGGGGGGTTCCCATTAAATTAATACAGCAGTTGAGGCAGTACACAGCTCATCACACCCATGGGGTGCTAAAGGGAGGTGGGGGGGTTCCCATTAAATGAATAGAGCAGTTGAGGCAGTACACTGCTCATCACACCCATGGGGTGCTGAAGGGAGGGCACATGGGAGCCTCCCCTCTAAGTAAATATGTCGGCTGAGGCCATACACAACTCACCACAGTGATGGGGTGCTACAGGCAGGGTGTGTGGAGTCCTCCCCTGAAATAAAGAGGGCTGAGGCCATACACAGCTCATGACACCCATGGGATGCATTAAAGGGAGGGGGTGGGGTGGGGTGGGGGGCTTTGAAATCCATACAACAGCCAATGCTGTATGTAGCTCATCGCACCCATGGGGTGCCGGAGGCAGTGTGTGGGAGCCTCCCTGTACATAAACATGTCAGCTGAGGCCATGCACAGCTCATCACAGCGATGGGTGCTCAGCCATGGCCCTGGATGGAAAGGGGGGGGCAGGAGGCCGTGGCCCCGTGCCTCAGTTTCCCCGTTGCCCTCCCGCAGGTGGCCATGGGCTATGCCCACTCCCTGGTGATCGCCCGCGACGAGACCGATGCCGAGAAGGAGAAGCTCCGCAAGCTGCCCGAGTACAACCCCCGCACCATCTGAGGGACCCCAGACCTGCCGGGACCCCCCCAAACCCAGCCAGGACCCCAAACCTCACCGGGACCCCCCCCCCAAACCCCGCTTTTCCAAGCCAGCCACGGATTTAACTACCTGTTATCCCATTCCCAAAGCCTTGGGGGGTTTATTTCCCCCTTCCCATGGCTTTCTGCGTTCCCGACCGTAGCAGGATCTTTTGGCACATCCAGGCTTAGTTTCGGGGGGGTTATTTTTTTTTGTTTTTTTGTAATTATTTTGATTTTTATTTGTATTTTTCCCCACCTTTTTTTATCTTCCCTTTTCCCAGCTCCACATTCCCTGGCTGCGCCACATTCCCTGGCTGCGGGCTCAGGATACCATTGGGGACCTGAAGAGCAGCAGCAAAACGCTTCTTTCCCCTCCTCTAATATCCCAATCTTTTAGCATTTTTCCCATATTCCCCCTGCTTTGGGTGCTTTCATTTTGGGGGATTCCCCCCCCTGCTCTTCCAGCATCCCTGTTCCCGGAGGGATTCAGGATACGGATCTCACCCCCCGCAATGGGTCAAACCCATCCCCAGCATCCTTTTGGGGCTCCCCTCCAGCTATCGCAGCCCTTGCCCACCCCAGGGAGATCTCAGGTATGAAGAGGGGAGCCCCTAAAAGCTCGTTCTTGGCATTATTGATTCATTAGGGTTTAATTCCTGTTAACTCTGCCTGGTCTCAAGCCCAAAGCCCCTCCTACGACGCTGTGCACTGTGCTGGAGAAACGAGGTGCCTTTAGCAGAGCCTGGCTCTGCCTCCGCGCAACCCAAGGGTGATTTTAACTTTGAGTTCTGTCTTTTTAGGGGTTCTTTTGAGTTATTGGGAGGGGGGGGTGTCAGGGGCAGCATTTGCCCTGTTTGGGGAGTTTTACAGTAAAGCAAAGTGTTTTTTTTTTCATTTTCTTTGGGATTGGGGGTTGTTTTGGGGGGGGTTAGAGAGCAAAGATCCGGGATTGGGATTGCAGTTGGGTGGAAAAGTGAAATATTCCACTTTTTTAGCAATAGTCATTTTTAGGGGCTTGTGGCACAAGCGGAGCCACAGCCCCAGTAAAATGGGGTGAAGAAATCACCCCAAACCCCAATTTTACCCCTCCAAAAAACATCGTTTTGGCTCCATCCTGCCCGACGGCAACATGGTTTTAGCCTGGTTAAACTCCCCTTTCCGGCCACGGGTCGGAGGAGGCTCCGGGAAGGAGCCATGATCCCAAGGCAGGAGGATGTGGGAATGCCGCGTCCTTTAGCAGCAGGGCCTGGGTTAGTGCTGGAATTGTCTTCTTCATGGTTTGGTTTTTTATATTTCTTGGAGGAAATGTTTAAATAAAGGCTGTCATTGTGTACACCCCCTGCTCCCCCCTGCTTGTGATAGCAGAGCTCAATGGAGTGCATTGAACCCAAAGGACACGGGCAGGGGGATGCCTTTTCTTCCCCAAAACCATTAGAGGGCATCATCCTGCTGCGGACAGCACCCTCCATCCCAAAATACTCCCTCCCCATCCAATATTCTGTATTGCCCTGTAATATTACATGGGCAGGATGCAGACACATCCTGCGCACACAGCTGAGCATTGACATGCATGCACGCGTGGTTTCGTGCATGCATGTGGCTTTACACACATGTACATGTGCGTGTTTCTGTGCGTGCCTTTGGCTTTAGGGCACACAGGCATGATTGCATGCATGCATGCATGGTGGGTTTGCATGCACAAGTGATTTCTGCATGCCTGTAGCTCTGCATAGGTGCAGAGGTGATGGTATTGCATGTATGTGAGCTTGTGCATACATGTATGTGTGTTTCAGCTCATGAACATGGATCTGCGCACGCATGCATGTGCATTTTGTTGCATTCACATGGTTTTGTGTGCACAGGCGTGTGTATTTCTGTGCATGCGCATGTTTCTGTACACATGCACGTGCATTTGAGGACATCAAACATGGGTTTGTGCACATTTCTGCATGAACATGGTTTTGTGCACCCATGCACATGCTTTTTGGTGCATGGACATGGTTTTGTGCACCATGATCATGCTTTTTGGTGCATGAACACGGTTTTGTGCACCCATGCACATGCTTTATGGTGCACGATCATGGTTTTGTGCACCCATGTGCATGCTTTTTGGTGCATGAACATGGTTTTGTGCACACGTGCATTTCTGCATGAACATGGTTTTGTGCACCCATGCGCATGCTTTTTGGTGCATTAACATGGTTTTGTGCACCATGAACATGCTTTTTGGTGCATTAACATGGTTTTGTGCACCATGAACATGCTTTTTAGTGCATGAACATGGTTTTGTGCACCCATGCATGTGCATTCTGTACATACACGTTCCTGGCATGCACGCAGCCTTGCACACATGTGTTGGGACATACCCATGTGCACTCTGCACCTGCAGCACCGCAGCAGCACCCAGGGCACCCTAACCCCACTCTCCACGTTTCATCTCCCCCTTTAACCATCCTCACTTCCTGGCTGTACTGGGAGCGCGATGCCCAAGTGCTGCACCACCACCAAGAGTCACCCCAGGAGCACACCTTCCCCTTGAGGCCCCAGCTGCAAACCCTGCACCAGCAAGAGGAGAAACCTGCAGCCCTGCTTTATTTTGGACAGGCCGACGGCCACCACCGCTGAAGGCACTTGTGGGATGGGGACGGGGATGCGGGGGCTGAAGCCACCTCAAGGCACCATGTGCCACCATTTGAAGGCAAAGGGCTTACGGCGGGCGTTGGTGCCGCAATGGACCTCCCCAGAGAAGACATGGTAGGAGAAGTAGTCATCGATGAAGGTGCAGGTGAGGCCCAGGGGCTCCAGCAGCGCCCGCACCCGCTCCTCCAGGCAGCACTGCCCACCCACCTGTGGTCCAAAGGGCTTGGGGATGCCCAAGTGCCTGCCCAGCACCAGCATGTTCACCTGCAGCCAGACCAAAAGCCAGTGTTTTCCACCCAAAAGGGGTGTTTGCAGCAGAGAGGAGGGTGCTGAGGGTCTCACCATGTCTGGGAAGAAAGCTTCAGCGCCATGGGCAGTGTCACCTCGGAAGAGCTGGGGAATGTCGAGGATGTCCGGCTCAGATAGACCCAGAGACCGCTTCAGGATGTCCCTGTTCCAGTTGATGCAGCTCTGATGGGAGGGAGGGATGGACACAGGGATGGAGAGATGGAGGGACAAAGGGATGGGCAGATGAAGGGAGGAATGGGTGGACAAAGGGCTAGAGGGAGAAACAGAGAAGTGAAGGGATGGATGGATGGATGGATGGATGGATGGATGGATGGATGGATGGATGGATGGATGGATGGACGGACAAAGTGGAGGGAGGGAGGGATGGATGGGTGGATGGATGGATGGACAAAGATGGAAGGATGGATGGATGGAGGGATGGATGGATGGAGGGATGGATGGATGGAGGGATACAGGGTTGGAAGGATGGACATAGCGACGGGTGGAAGAATGGAGAGGTGGAGAGAAGAATGGGTGGAAAAACGGAGAGATGGGATGGTGGAAGGACAGAGGGATGGACAATAACGAATGAGGGGATGGAGAGATGGATGGAAGGATGGGTAGAAGAGGGAGGGAAGAACGGAAGTATGGACAGAGGGATGGAAGGACACAGAGGGAGATAGGGATGGGTGGAAAGGAGCCCCCTGCTCCCATTGCTCACCTGCACGTAACTATTGAATTTCCGGAGCCCTTCATCAGCCAGGATCTCGGTTATGGTTGTCCTGGGCACCCCTTCCAGCCCTGCAGCACAATAACTGGGCAGGAATTCCTCCCCCAACACTTTGGGATGAGACTCCCGGCTCTCATCCAGGAGCTTCCCCCATTTCAGGGTCACTGTAGTGAGTTCCATCCCAACCCAGGACATCAAATCTGTGCAGCTTTATACTCAGTTCTGTCCCCATCCTTGCTGCTGGCAGCACTTCCCACCCATCAGATGGGTTTAGGGGGGTTGTGCACCCATCTCACTGCACATTGCAGGAAAAAGGGAAAAACGAACCCACTGAGCCCTGTTTTCCATCTTCCCCTACCATGGAACATCGCTGCCTCGCCGAAGCCCTCCTCTTGCTTCTCCTTGAGGAGCTGGTAGCAGGCACTGGGGCTGGCCAGGAGCAGCCGAAAACCCTGAGGAGGGAGAAGGGATGAGGTTGGGGGGGGATATAAAGGTTCCACCCCACTTCTTCCCCATCATGGGACTCGTTACCTTCCGATCGGGCGCAGGGATGAAGCTGAGGAACTCATCCACATGGCCAACAGCGAGCCAGTCCGAGAACAGCTCCACCGGCGCCTGCACCTTCTGCGCAGCGAGGAAGTCCTTGACAGCCTTTGCCATCCTCCTGCCACCGAATCTGGGGGGGCACAAGGAGGGAGGTGACATTCTGGGGTGCCCAAGGGGATGCTCTGCTTGTATCCAACCTCAAACGGTCCATAAAAGTCTTTTTGGAAGCTGTTTTTCCTTTGCTTTGACCCCCTCATCCTGCATCTCACCTGGGGAAGCTGCTGCCAATCAGGATGCGGCCCAAGGGGTACTCCTTGCCCTGCACTGTCACGGGTGGGCTCACCTCCAAATTCCCAAAGGAATCCAGGCTGGAAGAACCCTCCGGTGCTTGCCGGGCCACGTAACCAAAATCAGGGCCCTGGATAGGGGGGAAAAAAGGTGATAAAGGTTAAAAGGAAAAGTCTGTAAGCATCCAAAGTGCATCACTCCCAAATCATCCTCTGTGTTGGCTCTTCCCTTCCCAAAATTGCCAGAAGAATCGAGATTTGTCACATTTTTTTAACGGATTTGCAAAGCTTTATGCATTCTGGGAAGGAAGAAGGAAGGGATCAGGTACCAGGATGCTCTTGACAGGGAAATCCTTCAGCCCCCGGTCACGGGGTGAGTCAAAGACGACAGGGAAGGTCTTGTGGGGAGCTTGCACGTAGCCAAATTCAACTTCATCCTGGAGAAGGAAGGGATGGAGAAGATGGGCAGGAGCTGCTGCAGCAGGGCTGGGGCTGGGCATCATCCTGCACCCACCTGGATCCAGCGGTCCTGGCGGTTCTCCAGCGGCGGGCACACGGTGAGCGGGCACTTGGCTTTCTCGGCCACAGCACCCACAGCCGCCACGAAATCCTCATTGTTGTCCACACTGGGAAGGGAAACAACATATAGGATTGATCCAGCATCAGGCAGGATGCGGCCACCCACCCAGCACCCACCTGCAGACAAAGACCTCCAGCGGTGCTGCAGTGTTGGGGGTCATGATCCACGGAGCCATGCGGAATACCACGGTGTCCGTGAAAATGGGAGTCTCCAGCAGCCCCTGCATGGCAGAGGGACAGTGTTTGGGCTCTGCTGCCTCCACCACGGCTCAACCCAACCCCACCACTGCTGGTACCTTCTCCGGGCTCTCCAGCAGTGTGACATGGAAAGCCACCAGCCCTGAAAAGCCAACATCAGGGAAGGCGAGTCCCTCCACGTAGAAGATGCTCTCCTCTTGATGCCGGCTGGGTTTGATGGTGTAGGCGAGCTTTGAGCCCCCCAGGACGTGCTTGTACTCCTCCAGTGCAACACTATCTGTGGGTACAACCCCTTTAAGCAGCTGAACCTCCTTTTCTGTATGATTTTAGCACTATTTTCCTTGCTAAAACCTTCCCAAAAGGGTGTATCTGATCCCAGGGAGCAATGCACAGTGGGGAGCATCACCCAGTGCATCAGATAAACCCAGCATGGGATGTAGGATGAATGCTGCAGAAGTGGTACCCACTCTGCTGCAAGGATTTTGCTTCAACCCCAATAATTAGGGGTGTTTCCCCTCCCCAAACCCCAGTGTTGGGCACTCACTGCCACCGTAGAAAACACCGACTTTATCAGCATCGCTGTAGTCCACGTGGAGGACGAGGCGGTGGCCGGTGAAGATGGTGCGGGGCCCTCGGGTGCGCAGCACCATCTGTGACATGTCCTTCAGGTCTGGGGTTGGAAAGGGGTGTAAGAAAGGGAAATCTGGGGGGCAAAAAGTAGGAAAAGGAGGTTTGTTTCATGGGATGTGCTGGTACCGTCGTAAGAGCGGATGGCGGTGTCGCTGTTATCCAGCATCTTGGCTGTGGGATCATCTCGGTCGCAGTTCACCAGCAGGATGGCCCCGTGTCCATCAGGACCCCACGTCCATGTTGTCTGGCAAAGGGATGGGCAAAGCAGGGCTTGGGGGGTCAGTCATCACCTTCCCCATGCCACAGCAGTCCTTGGGGCCTCCCAGCCCGCTTTGTACCTTATCCAGCAACGTCCTGCTCACCGTACCACCACGGGTGGTGTCAGCATCCAGCGAGACCTCTGCAGAGAGAGGGGTGCTGAGGGGGCACATCCCCACCAGCACCACAGTTTGGGGTTCCCCACACTCACTTACCCACGCAGGTGAGGTACAGCATGGCTCTGCCCACGGGCACCCCGCCGGCCTCCCCGAAATAGGAAATCCTGACCTGCAACAAGGAGCATGATGCTCAGCATGATGCAAAGTGGGGCTGAATCCTGCGGGGGCACCAGCACCCACCTTTTCATCACCCACGTCCTTGCTGAGAGCATCCATGGACAGCAGCACCTCGGCACCGGCAGCCAAGGGCCAGCGGCTCACGCTGGAGGGCATCTTGACGCTCTGTGTATCATGCACCACATAGACCTTCACTCCTGGTGTTCCCTGCACGTGGAAGGTGACGGCGTCTTTGGGTGCGGATCTGGGGAGGGAAAAGCAAAGTGAGAGCCCCACATGGGGCACTGAGGGAATGCTGCAGTGTGCGACCATCTGCAGGTGATGCAAATCCTGCCACAAGCAGGAAATACTGCACTAGGTAAGGAATCCCACAGAGTAACCATTGGTGAGGGGCTTTGGACAAGGGCCTGTAGGGACAGGCCAAGGGGAATGGCTTTAACCTGCCAGAGGGGAGACTGAGATGAGCTCTTAGGCAGAAGCTCTTCCCTGTGAGGGTGCTGAGGCGCTGGCACAGGGTGCCCAGAGAAGCTGTGGCTGCCCCATCCCTGGCAGTGTTCAAGGCCAGGCTGGACACAGGGGCTTGGAGCAAGCTGCTCTAGTGGAAGGGGTCCCTGCCCGTGGCAGGGGTTGGAACTGGATGAGCTTTAAGGTCCCTTCAGCCCAAACCATTCTGTATTCTACGACTCTATGAAACCCTTCAATAAGCAGCAGATCCTGCAATGTGCAATGGCAACAAGTCATGCAAAACACAACTGCAACAAGTTCTTCAACACACAACACATCCTGCAACAGGCAAGTGCTCCAAGTCCTTCAATATGCACCAAATCCTACAGAACGTGATTACAACAAATCCCGCAAAAGGCAACTGCAACAAATCCCAGCAAAGGGGATTACAGCAAATCCTGCTGGAGGCAACAAATCCTGGAGAGCAGCAAATCCCACAATGCACACTGCAACAACCCCTGCGACACACACAGGACCTTGCAATATTCAACTGCATCAAATGCAACAACAACTTCCAATGCAATTCCAACAAATCCTGCAGTTTCCCATCGCAGGACCTTGGAGCTGTTTGGGAGTTGGTTTTTATGGCATTGGCCTTCCCAAATAGTCACATTTCCATGCCCTGACCAGTTGCATCCCCTTAAGAGCAAAGCAACGCTGCATGGCCGCGCAGGCTGCAGCTCGCATGGCTCCTCCCCGGTGCAAGAGACCATGGGCGATGGGCCAAGGAGCATAAATCCTGACCTGTGAGGAGGGAAGCATGGCAAAACCCACCCCAGGGGCAGCGGGAGAGGATGGGAAGCTGTCAGCAGTGGCGGCGCAGTGGGTTTGGATGTGTTAGAGGAAAACTCAGACCTCAAACTGGGGTTTGAGGAAGCTCGGGCAGGGCTTTAAGGAAACAAAAAGCAAAGCCAGCTGCTGAAAAGCACTTGAGCTTGGGCTGGAGCCAGTGAGGCAGCTGAAACACCCAGTGCCGGGAGGTGACACCCCGGCCAGCAGCTCCATGGTGGTTTCACCCCATGTTCCCCAGAAACAGGGAAATAATTCCTTATTGCAGGAGGCCCTGGGGCTGGGATGTGAAACTCAGCTCGAGGCATCACTTCAAGCTCCCAGGGAGGTTTGCACCGCAAAATCCCCCTTGGAGGGGTCACTGCTTGGTGGATGCATCGCAATTCTGAGCATCCCTGTATTCCCAAAGCTCAGCATCCCCTGAGAAAAACACCCCATGCAGGAGCATATCCCCCCCCCCCCCCTTGCCCTGAGCTGATTTATCAGCTTGATTAATGGGATAAAAGCAAAAGGTTTTAATGTGTTTCCCCCCTCCCAGCTTACCCGCAGACATCCAGGGAGAGCTCGGTGCCCAGCACGCAGACGGTGCTGGTGGGACGCTGAGTGGAAAGCTGGACACGGCGCTGCTGCGCCATGCTGGCAGGGCCCTGGGGCACCCTTGGGTGCTGTGACGGGTGGCACGAGGGGATTTATAAAGCCTGGCTGCTGGGAGGAGATCAACCAAAGCCTGGCTTAATCCCACCTCCAGGCTTTCAGCCTCCGGGCTGGGTGTGAGCAATGCCCGCCCGTGCTTCCCAGTGATGGAGCATGAATCAGTGCAGGGGGAAAAGCACCCCAAGACACCCACGAGGGGAGGGGGGGGTTGCTTTTATAAGAACCTCGGGGGTGTGTTTTTTTTTTCCCCCTCAGCACAAAGAGACACTGATGTGACCAACCACCCATAAACCCACGCTGTAAAATATTCAGTGTGACACAGGAGCCGAGCTGGGGCCGTGCCAGCGCCAGGCTCGGTTAGGTTTTATTTCCCTTCCTGAAGGGCTGCATTTGCTTAGCTGGGAAATGTGGCTTTAATTCTTGTTTTAGGGAGGGTGGAAGGTGCAAGCTGGGTGCTTGCCCCATCCCCTGGGTGCTGCATGGGCCAGGGGGTGGGTAAGTCACCTGCAGTGGGGACAGCCACGGCTTTAATCGCCTTTGTTTTCATGAAAGTCTTGTCCTGGCGTGGGATGCCCTTTGTGGATGCAGCTGTCGCCCACCAACTCCCTGCAGGGTCATGCGCTGCTGGAATTCAATAGCGCTCCTTTGGGGCAGGGAAAACACAGCAGAGCCATAACTGCAGGGAAAATGGGGTTAGAAATCATCTTTGGGGCAAAAAGAGGGGCGTAAAGCGGGATGTGTGACCTTTTTTTGGGAACATTTCCCTCTCCATCTCCAGCATCCTTGTGGCGTCACAGCAGCTGGTGCAGCTGCGCTTTCACACCTCAAGAAAGTGCTGCTTAGAAAGAAATAGGCCCCCCCAAGCGTGGTTTTAGCCCTATAATAGCCCTCGGGGTTGCACAGGGCTAAGTGATGCCCCAGGCAGGGGCAGGTTTCAGTTCCTGGTGCTGGCTCCTGCTGGGTGAGGGCAGAGGGGCCAGGTTGGCACAGGGAAATGCTGCGCTTGGGTTGTGATGAAAAGGCAAGAAAGAGAAGTCAGGGCGGCTGCAAAGGGAGAAAATGTAAAAGGATTTGCACTAGGAGGGGGCTCTGCATCCCTGTCATGCTGGAGAGCTGGTCTCCCCTGCCGGAGGGGGATTTTTGGTGGATATAGGGGAATTTGGGAGGGATTGGCTACAAACTTGGGACTATGAGACCCTTTAACATCAGCATGGGGTCTCAAAACCGCAAAGCCTGCTGACTAGCATGCACCATGCTCCCAAAGTGCTGCCCCTACCCCATAAAACCACCACTCCTGTAAGAAAAGCCAGGTTACAAATGATGCTTTCAACCCAAGAGCAGAAGATAAAGGATGGGAGACAGGGAAGAGCTGCACCTTTGGTGTTAATGCAGCTTTATTGGTGAGACCCTCGATTTTGCTGCATCTCCTGATGCAGCAAATGCACCTTTATGCTCCAGTTGCAGGACCTGGGCCCGTTGCCAGGTGCTTCAAGGCACCATGTGCCACCATTTGAAGGCAAAGGGCTTACGGCGGACATTGGTGCCACAGTGGACATCCCCAGAGAGGACATGGTAGGAGAAGTAGTCATCGATGAAAGTGCAGGTGAGGCCCAGGGGCTCCAGCAGCGCCCGCACCCGCTCCTCCAGGCAGCACTGCCCACCCACCTGCGGTCCAAAGGGCTTGGGGATGCCCAAGTGCCTGCCCAGCACCAGCATGTTCACCTGCAGCCAGACCAAAAGCCAGTGTTTTCCACCCAAAAGGGGTGTTTGCATCAGGTGTGGGTGGAAAAAGAAGGGAGGAGGTGCCAGGGTCTCACCATGTCCGGGAAGAAGGCATCTGCACGGGAGCCCCTCAGGATGAAGAGCTGGGGAATGTCGATGATGTCCTGCTCACTCAGCCCCAGCTCCTGCTTCAGGAGGTCACGGTTCCAGTCAATGCAGCGCTGTGGAGAGAGGGGACCTGGAATTGCCACCCCTGGCCGCGCATGGATCCCTGTGTGCCCCACTGCATCCTGTTTGGATCCTCACTTGCTCCATCACATCCCACTCCTTGACCCATTCCCAACTCAAGGAACCTCTTTTTCCGTTGGTTTTGACATCTCTGCAGTCACCTGGGGCATCTCCCCTGATCTAGTTAAAGATCTCTCTCCTCCTTGCAGCAGGGTTGGACCAGATGACCTTTGTAAGTCCCTTCCAACCCAAACTATGCTATGATTCTATGATCTCCCACTGGGACAACGAGCTTGGGATGACCCAGCACCCAAGGGTGCCTGCTCCTTCATGGCTGCTCTTCTTGCCTGCCTGCTTTCACACAGCATGGTCCAACTCATGCCCCAGTTTCTTGCTATTCCCCAGGATCTCCCCAAATGCTCCCTGGATCCAGAAATTATCCAGCAGAAACATGCAAACATGGAGAGAGCAAATGCACCCAAATCCACAGCTGCAGAGACCCACCTGCACGTGCCTGTTGTCACTCTTCAACGGCTCATCTGCCAGGATCTCATCGATGCTTTTCCTCTCAGCATTCTTCAGCCCTGCATGGGGATAGGAGAAGAGAGGTTAGGGACATCAGGAAGGGATGCTAGTGGTCCCCACTGTACCACAGGGATGCTCAAATCCTTACCAACAAATAGTGTAGCTTCACCGTGGCCCTGCCTCTGCTTCTCCTTGAAGAGCTTGTAGCAGGCATTGGGGCTGGCCAAAAGGAGCCGGAAACCCTGTGGGAGGGAGTCTGGGAGTCATCACTTTGCTGTTGGTGACATATTTTATCCCACCACCCTGCTGAGAGACACCACACAGATCCCAAAGCCAGCCTCAGGCATCACAGGCTCCATGGGGTGCTACCCAGGGAAGCCACCCCAAAAAGAAGGAGCATCAGCCAGCAGGAGGAGGGAAGACAAGCAACTGCAAAAGAGCTTTTTCTTTGCATTTGCAGGAGTAGGGATGGCTCCAGGGGTTGGTACCTTCCTATCATAGGCTGGGACGAAGGTGAGGAATTCATCCACGTGGCCCACACTCAGCCACTCCGAGTAAACCTCCACCGGTGCCTGCACTTTCTGGGCATACAGGAAATCCCTGACAGCCTTAGACATCCGCCGGCCAGAGGCCCTGGAGCAGAGGGAGGAGGAGAAAGCAGGGGGCCATCATACCCCACCCCAAGATTTACCCCCATCCTTCCCCCAAACATCACGCCATAGGGAGAAGGCGCATCCACACATCCCATTCCTATGGGAAACACCAGGAAGAATCACAGAATAACAGACTGGTTTGGGTTGGAAAGGACATAGAGATCATTCAGTTCCAATCCCCTGCCATGGGCAGGGACACCTTCCACTAGAGCAGGATGCTTCAAGGACCTGTGTCCAACCTGGCCTTGAACACTGCCAGGGATGGGGCAGCCACAGCTTCTCTGGGCACCCTGTGCCAGCGCCTCAGCACCCTCACAAGGAAAAGCTTCTGCCTTGTCTCCAACCTGAACTTCCCTGTTTCAGTTTGAACCCATCACCCCTTGTCCTGTTGCTACAGTCCCTGATGAAGAGCCCCTCTCCATCATCCCTATAGGCCCCCTTCAGACACTGGAAGCTGCTCTGAGGTCTCCAAGCAGCTTCTCTTCATCTGAGAAATATATCTTTGTATTACATATAATATCTAATATATATATATGTAATACCTAGATATATTAATAAGACAGATACCCATCTTAATACCTCTATTATGTATTATTATATTTATATTATGTATTAATATATCCCTGTATTATGTATTCATATATATCTAGGTCAAACACATCTATAGGCAATTGTGCCCTGTTCTGCTCAGGCTCCTTTGGGTTTAATGTCCCTTGTCCTGGTGCATCTTAACTCACTCCTGCAGCAGTGCTTTGCGTGGGGGCGAACTTTTCTTAGACAGACAGCAGCAGGCTGGGAAAGCATTAATTAAACCTCTGCTAATAAGGGATAATTACAGTCCCAGCAAGGCTGGGAAAAGACCATTTACCCTCCGCTGTAACCAAAGCAACCCCCCGGCTTGCAGAGGGGCCGGGATGGGAGCATCCCGTTTGTTATCCCGGCTCAGACCTCATTGATCTGGATTGGCCCCCGTTGTTATTTCTCTGGGAAAATAACCTCCTTTGTGGAGGATTTTGCAGGGTGCTCTTGTTGCTGCAGGGCTGCCTAGCACTGCCTGCCCAGAGCAAAACAATTTCCAGTTATTCAGGATTTTACCCTTTCCTGGATTTCCCTGCTTTTCCTTTTAATAGGAAATACAAAAATTAAGGACCCAGGTGCTTATAGTGCTGTAAGATCCAAGCAGAAGCACCAGCAGTTTGGGAAGGGGTAAACATCAAGGCTGTGGCATGATTTTTTAAGGGATAACAATGTGGTCTGCATGGTAAAACTGGGATTTGATGGGAAGTGGCCTCAAATTCCCATTTGGATGGGAATTGGCCCCACATTCCCACTCTGAGTGGTCCAACCCTTTCTCCTACAAGGATTTTTGGTGCTTCTCCACCTCCTGGGAGAAAGGGCTCAAGCCCCCTCACATCTCACCAGGGCAGGGGGCTGCCAATCAGGATCCTGCCCAAGGGATACTCCTTCCCTCGCACTGTCACTGGAGGGCTGACATCCAGGTTGCCGAAGGAGTCGAGGCTGGTGATCTCTCTCCCGGGGGGCTCACGGGTCACATAGCCAAAATCCGGGCCCTGGGGGAGAGGGGAGCAGTGACAGAGATGCCCGGGATGGGGGATTTTGTGGGGAGGAGGAGGGGTTGGCATCACAACAACACACCAGGATCTTTTTAAAAGCAAAATCCTTCAAGCCTCTGTTCCTGGGTGAGTCGAAGACGACGGGGAAGACCTTGTGCGGTGCTTCCACATAGCCAAACTCCAGCTCGTCCTGTTGCGGGAAGAAGAAGAGGAAGAGGAAGGCTCCTGGCAGGGTGATAGCCATCTCCATGAGGCATGTGGCGAGGGTGGAGCAGGAAATGGGGCAAACCTGGCAAAGACTGGCTCTTGCCCTTAACCCAAGGGGGACAGCTGCCCTGCTGTCCTGGGGGGTGACACCACAGTGCCTGGCACAAGTCACCCCTGGGTCTATGTCCCATGGAGTCTGTCTTGCAATAGGGTCCCTCTTGCAATGTCCCCATTGGGTCCCTCCTGTAGTGTCTCACGGAGTCTCTCTTGCACTGGGATCCCTCTTGCAACATCCCTGTCTGTGCCAGTGGCCACCACCACCAGCATTCCCCATGCTTTAGTTCATGGCTGCCTGGCTCATCTCTTAGTAGCTAGGTGCTTCCCTCAGCAACTCAGCCAGTCCCTGCCAGGACTGTCACCCCCATTGATGGCACCTTACATGCCCCAGGAGCCTGCAAAGGATCAGAAGAGCTTCCATATTACAAGCATCAATTGATGACCTGGATCCAGCGGTCACTCCGGGTTTCCACCTCCGAGCAGATGGTCAGTTTGCAGTTGGCTTTCTTCAGCAGGACCCTGAGTCCTTCCAAAAACACTTCATTGGAATCTGAGCCTCGCTGGATGCTGGAGGAAGAGGAAAGAGTGAAGGCTGCAATAGGGGATCATGAGAAGCACCCCAATCTCCAACCATGCAGCCCATTCCTCATTCCTAAACGTACTGGGCAATAGTCCTGCATGAGGTTAGACCTAGAGAGCATCCTCCAGCCTTTCTCCTTGGGGTTGCAATGAGTGCAGCAGTCCCTACCCAAATACTGCCTCCAGTATAACACGCATAAAGCCTGGCTTACCCTACAGCAGCTACATAGCAAGGAAGGGTTGAAAACTCCTCCTGGGAGAGTCCTCCAAAGCAGGAGAGCAGTGGGGTGACATCCCTCCTACCTGCAGACAAAAACCTCCGTAGGCTGCTGGGTGTTGGGCGTCATTATCCAGGGTGCTACGCGGAAAACCACCGTATCCGTGAAAATGGGGGTGCCTGGTGAATTCTGTGAGGGGTGAAACCAGTGAGGAGTCATGGTTAAAATCCCACCACGAGGGGACTTGGCAGGAGATGGGGCAGATCTCACATACCTTATGGGGGACCTCCAGCAAACTGGCGCTGAAAGAAACCAACCCAGAGAAGCCTCTGTCAGGGAAAGCCAAGCCTTCAACATAGAAGGTGTTCTCTCCACTGCCAAAGTGGTCCAGCACGTAGGAGAGCCTGTCCGGGCCCAACACGGGTATGTACTGGGGGTGTGAGTCAGTCCCTGGAGAAACACCGAAATACCCAACCCAAAATGGGGTGACCAACCTGTCCACCAGACTGGAAGGAGGCACCAGCAAGGAGGTGGCTGATGCCAGCATGGTTTGCAGAGGAGTGGGTGTGTCTTTTCTTCTCTGGGGAACACACTTGATCTTTCTTGTACAAAGAGGACTCTGTACCCTCAGGTCCAACCCTTTCAAGGTGCACGGCTTGAGTTAAGAATCTAATGATATACTTGGGTTCCCTGACCTGATTTTCGGCAGGGAGCTGCTGGGGATCCAGCTGCCAGGGTGTTCAAAGTCAAAAGGTGCTGCCTGACAAGATGGGCTGCTTTGGTGGCTGGGTCATTGCCCAAGACAAAAAGATGCCGGGAGCCACGTGGGAGTTATCCACCCCGTGGGAATGTCAAAATCTCAGCAAGCTCCTTGAGAAAAGCTTTATTTAACCCTTTTTCCCATATAACCCCATCTTCTACAACTGCTTTGGAGGTACACGAGTGTTTCCAGCAGTTGGAGGTGCCCAGCCCTTAGCCACAATGAACTTTTATTTCAGGGTTCGTCTGCTTCAGGGTCTGGAATATCTAGGATATCTACAGGGATATCTGGCAAGGAAGGAAGGAATACTTACGGATAGCATGGAAAACTCTCACTTTATCTGCATCCGACTCGGGGACGTGCAGAACCACCTGGTAGTCAGCAAAGATAGCGCTGGGACCTTGAGTCCGCAGCAGCATGACAGACATGTCCTGAAGGTCTACATTGAAAGGGAAGGATGAAGACAGAGACACCATGGAGGTCTTGCAAGGGGGAAACACCCCAGTGAGCCCTGCATATCACACCCTACCTGCAGTGGTCCGTATGGCTGCCTGACCACTGTCCATCCCCACCGCCCCTGGGCTGTCCCGGTCACAGTTGACCAGCAGCACAGCACCTTGCCCATTCGGACCCCACGTCCACTTGGCCTGGAGGAGAAACACCCAAAGGGAATGGAAGTTAGATTTCCCCCATCCCAACCACGGATGGGAAAACACCACCACCGCAGTCATGCTTGGAGGCCAAGCCACAGCATGCAGCTGAGGCTGGTGGGGAGACAGTAGTGATGCTTTCGAGCCACTGAAGTTCCTAATCTCAGATTCTAGTAGGGCCAGCAAAGACTGTTTCAAACAGATCTTATCTTCTAACAAGCCAGAAAGTACCTTCCAGGACTCATACGGACACTGTGCTGTTTCTAGAAATGCATCTCATCTGATGCGCTATTTGGTGCTGATTGGGCTGCAGGTAATTACCCGGGTGCAAGTGCTGGGGCAGATGCAGATCTGTTGCCAAAGGGGGAAAGCTCTGCTAAAGTTGCAGCTGACTCATTTAGTGGCATGTTTCAAGTTCAAAAAGGAAGAAGAAGAAAAGGAAAAAAGCAGACTGTTCTCTCCTACATGATCCCTGGGGCTGGATTGGAAATGTAGGAGATTATGGAGTAAGAAAATAACCTTTTCCTCCTCAATGTTTAGGTTGAGCATTTGTGAGGTTATTTGCCCTAATTCAGACGCCAGTGACACCAGCCAAGTCCATCTCCCTCCTGGAGGTTGTTAGGGAAGAGACTGCAAATGGGTACACCCAACACTGACCCTCTATACGTTGCTTACAGCAAAGCTTCTCATTACCTTGTCCTTCCCTTTGCTCTTCACTCTGCCATTACGGCTCAAGTCCACATCCAGGGATACATCTGAAATATCAAGAGAGAAGGAAGCCATTGGCAGGGGAATGAGCTCTTGGTGGCATTTTGCTTCATCCTTGGCATTAGCAACAGCAATCCCAACTTCACGCCCCAAATCTGCTGCAGACCTCCAAAATGCTGATAGGAAAGTCAAATTGCTGATAGAGAAGCCAACCTGACGGCTTTTTCATGGCTTTCCCCTTTGATTGCCAGCTGTCTTCATGCATCTTGTTTCACCAGCAGGGACATACCCACTTCATGGCATATTTTGTGTTTTCACCAATTTCATATTGACTGTAGTGTTTTTCATGAACCCAAAACATGGTGAAGACATGACAGTGTTTCCACCATGGGTGAGTGGGCACCAAAATTAGGCTTGATGCAATGTCTGAGAAGAACTTTTCTTTAGAGAGCTCTTCTTGCCCCAAATCTCTGCCTCTGCTGCAACAAAGTAGAGGTTTACCTGCAGCAACCTCATCCAAACCCTACCTAAATCTGTATTAAGCTTATCTTAATAGAGAAATTCCTCCAAATGGGCTCTATAGTATGTGGAAAACACAGGCATGGAAACTGAGGTTGTCTTTATCCTTGATACAGAGAGGAGGACACAGAGAACCTGGAAATGCAGCTCAACATCTAAGCAAGCAAAGAGCATTTATCAGGCAGAAGCCCTGCAGACAGCGGTGGCTCTGGATGAGCCCATCAGTCATGGGACGTGGGAAACCATCTTCGGGTGCAATTTTGGGAGGCATATGCATGACTTCAGGACACAGGTCTGTCTGCCATGTGAAAATCCCAAGTTTAGGGTAATTAATCCATCCAGGTGTAAGGCTCTGTATCCAGACTGGTTGTCTAGACTCCCTTTGTAGTCAGCAGAGGAAAATAGGCATTTCAAGGGAATGATTCATCTCTATCCTAAACTTCTAAAATAGGTCAGATGACTACACTTTGGTGCCTATTCCTCTCCCCTAACTGCGACACAGGTCAATGAGGAGGACACCAGGCAAAGTTGGGGGAGATGGTCCCCTTTGGCTCCTCTTCCGCTAACGCAATGGTGTTGGCAAGCAGAGGAGGATGCTTGGTGTGTGCACTGGGTGGGGACATGGCCCAGCCTCTGTCTCTTTTGCACCATGTAAGGCAGTATAATAGCTTTTTAATTATTTCCCTCTTGCTTGTCAGCATCAGTCAACACCCAAACCCTTCATTGCACATCACAGATGGGCAGCCCGCGCCCCCCACTTAACTCCCATCCCAGGAACCCAACTAGATCTTGGCATCCAAAAGTGTGGCTGGGTTTGGACAAGCGTTGCTGTAATACCTACCTACGCAGGTGAGGTACAACCAAGCCACTGAAAGCTCATTGTCTTCCCATCCGTAGTATGAAATCTTAACCTGTGAAGACACCACCAGATCATGACCCAAGTCCCATGTCCCGTCATGCTGAGTAGGTCTTTCCACTCATTGGGTTGACCAACCAACGCTATACAACCAGCTCTTGGAGGGTTCATCCAAGCCATTCTCCATTAATCATAGTTCAGCTGAACCATTTCTGCCTGCTTCAGCACAAAAACAGGCACAGAAAAAGCCAAGGTTGGAGTATTTTTCGCTGCCTGGCACAAGGTTGCTGGCAGCAGCTTTTGCAATCATGAAACATGATCTCCTTCTCCTTCTTAGTTTCTTTCTTTGGACACACTAATTACACAATTCTGTTTAAATTTGAGGGTTTTCCCTTGAAAATAAGCATGATGTTAACACTACTCAGAAGTTCTTGAGTCTTCCCATAACCCTCTTTTCTTTCCTAGGAAGCCTGACTTCAGTTTTAGTACATGAAAAACAACTAACCTTATTGTCATTGACAGTCCTGCTGATGACATCAATGGTCACTATGACCTCTATATCGGGATCCAGGGGCCATCTGGAGTTAATCATAGGTTTTGTCATGGGGCTGTGGATGATGTGGACCGTAACCCCAGAGGTGGCATGGACTTCAAATGATGCGGCACCTCTGGGGGTAGATCTGAAACAGAGAGCAGTGTGGGGTTAGAGACCAAGTTGTCCCTCCTGTTCTCCTCTGTGGAGCCAGATCCTTGAACCTGGAATTAAAATCCAGCTTTAACTGGATGGAAAGGACTCAAACCATCTTTGGGTGATGAAATGCATCGCCTGGATTTTATATGTATTATCTCTGTGGTGGTGTTGAGCAAGCAGAGCTCCCACTGGAGCTTCAGCACGTCTGGCCGTGGTTAAGCCCTAGATTGTGAATTGCTGAAGTTTGGACATCCAACCTCCCTCCACAACAGCAAGAAAACCCCCAGAATTTCAACACCCCACAACAAAACCCCAACAAAGAGCCAGGATGATTCTTTATGCCAGCTGTGCAGGGAGATGGGTATTGCAGGACCATACCCTGACCTGAGAGATGCTCAAACTGGAGCGAAGCCTGAATCCGAGCATGGAGAACCTGCACCCCACCTGCATGACATCCCTCGCCTTTGAAGTGCTTTCTACCTGCTCATTACAGGCCCAGTACCTCCATCCCAGGAGCATGAGTGCTCCGACCTGTCTGCCATCAGGAGCCAGCCGTGCAAAAAGACAGAGGGTGGTAAATTTTTACAGTGAGAATCAAAAACCACCCACACAAGAGATTTATTCCTGGTGCTGCCCTTGGCATGGGACTCCTGGTGCCTGCAGTGGCTTGTAAGGGGAGATTAAAATGTCATCTCGCTTGTTGCCCCGTGTATTGAACATCATGCAACGTCATAAATCCACCTGCACACTGTTGCACACCAAGACTTCTCCAGTTTGGGTCTATTTGCCCTGATTTTACAGCCTTCACACCTCAGCATCACCACCGCATTCCCACTGTACTCCATGATCTGCCCCAAACCAGCCCAAACTACAGTCAAAGCTTGACTCATCCAGCACCAAATTCCCCCTTGTCACTGCTCTCCAGGAACAAAATGATCCATTTCTTTTAGCTGAAAGAGCATCCTCTGTCTGCTTTTTTAGACCAAACCTCAAATTTGCTAGCAAGGAGCAAAATCAGCCCATTTTGGGGCTCAGGTTCCATGTTTGAATGGGTCTGAGCTTGCTCCAAGTCCAAATCCAGGGGAAATAATTGCAAATAATAGGGTTTATATATTCCCACCCATTAGATGGGAAATATAACACTATTTTAGGGCAGTTAAAGCTCAACGCAAAGCTCTTTGGGGGGACAGCAGCACATCCTGGCCCGGCTCCAACACACAACCCCAGTAATTGCCCCGCATGCTATGCCAACTGGCTTGTCCTGCAGTCTCTATCATTATAAATATGATTTATTAAATAATAACAGTGTAAGAGCAGGGTAAGTACAGCCTCCTATCTGGCCAATAAAGCAACCCCCAGATTTCATGCTGGAAAAACCTCTTTTGCTGCTGCTGGATTGCTTCTGCCTGAGCCACACATTTTATTCCTTACCCCGTTTTAGCTCTGTCCAAGTTGCTCGTCTTGAATGGCTCTTGCCTAATGTTTTCAAAGCCAGAAATAGACCTCTCTTAGCCAGGGTGTGCATGGGCTTTTGCCCACAAATCGTCACGGCTCGGCTACGCTTTGACACCTCCTGTGTGCCAGAGCCAACATCCCTTCTTTGGGTGCAGCTTCCCATGGGACATCATCTCCTAAACCAGATCCAGTGGGATATATCCACCACGCAACAAATGAGCTTGAGTTCATCCTTGGATGAACTTGTGATGAGGAATCAAAATGAGCTCCAGTTTTCCTCCTAGCACCCATTTCTCCTCCAAACAAAGAGGAAGAACACCATTGGGATCTCCCAAACCCCATGGATGAACTCATGATGCAGGCTCAAAATGAGCACTGATTTTCCCCCCAGAACCCATTTCTCCTCCAAACAAAGAGGGAAAACACCACTGGGCTCTCCCCAAACCCACCAACCCTATGGAAAACCATAGGGATCCCCCCATCCCAAGCCTTACCGGCGCATGTCAAGGAAGACCTCAGTACCCAACACGCAGACGCCATAGGTGGCATGGCTGGTGGACATCTGCATGACATGACGTTGGGGCATGATGTGCCGGGGACTGCGGCCGCATGTGAAGGAAGCTGCTGCCTGGCTTGGTAGGTAAACCAGCAGGACTGGATTAAAAGGCAGGGGAATTTAACTCCTCCTTCCCTCAATGACGGGGTTTAGGCAGGGGACCCTGATGTCTCCACCTCCACCACCCAGCAAGCTGCCGCCCCGCTCAAGGAGATGGAGGTGATAAGGCAGCCCCTGGAGGGGGGGGACAGGCAGCTTTTGGGAGGGGACACAGAGCAGAAGGGCAGAACGGGGTGGGTGACGTGGGATGCTTAGAATGGGGGATTATTCTCACCTTTTTATTCCCTTACAGCTCCATATAAGGACTCCAAAGCTTAATGCATTAAACATTTCCACTCCTCCTGGAGTGCAATATGGTTGTTTAGGGTTATTACAATACATGCTATCATTAATATAAAGCATTTTCCTTAAAACAACCCAAATTTTCCATCTGGCCGCTCTGCAGGTGACTCATGGCCTCAGTTATCCCATTAGGGCAATACCTGAATAAAGCCTAACAAAAGGAAATGTTTGTTCAGGTCAGTCCTTCCCATCATAACAGCTCCTGAGAGCACGACGGGCAGAAACGAGTGCAGGGAAAACTGGTTATTTGGCAGGCAGGGAAGGGGAAAGCAACAAACAACAAACAACAACACAACAAGAGCCTTTCAGTGGAAATTAAAAGTCCACAGTGTTTTGTTTGGACCTCGTGTTTCAGGGGTATTGGGGTTTTTGGGGCAGGCAGCAAAGCTCCCACGGGAAACATCCCTATGGCTGGAAGAGAAGATAGGCATCTCTCTCCAGGCCATCCCAGGAGGCTTTTCCTGCCTGTGAAGAAGGAAATCACGTGGAATTAATCTTGCTGAAGCCAGGAAAGAGGTCTTCGCTGAACTCAAAGATGGTGCAGCAGCAAAGATGGAGGGAAAAGGCAACACAGGGATGGAGAACACACCAACAACCCCATCACTGCAAGGTTCAGCCTCATAGCAAGGAGGATATGGAGTGACATGGTCACATCAGTGATGCAAGGGGCCCAAGAGAGCTGGAGCCAGGAGAATCACACTTTTGTGAGCAGCAGGACCCCTTGAAGATGAAAAGGTCAAGGCAAGCTGAGTGGAGCAAGAAGGGCTGGTCCCCACCACTGCACCAAGCTGCACGTCCTCAGCCAGAGGAGCAGCCACCCCCTGTGAGATCAAACCACCTGCTTTAAACATCTCCTGTCTACATTAAAGGGCTCCTTCCACCTTTAATTGCAGCAGGAAAACAAACTCAGCACTGTGTCTCGAACACGAGAACAGCTTTAATAACACTGGGAGCCTGCCAGAATGCTCCAGTGGGGAACAAGAGTGGCATTTCCAGGCCCTCCAGAACCAATCCTTGCTTGAGATTAAGATAAAAACCTGCTTCGCGAAACCCAGCACAAGCCAAACTGCTGATGTTCCTAGAGTTGGGAATTCTATTGGTTCTCAAGCCATACTAGGGGTGCACGAGCCTTCACACACCAGATAAACACAGAGCCTTCACACATGCCTCTGCTTCATCCCTAAGACCCTTCTGGGGTGAAGCAGAGCCAGCACGGTGGGTGAGGAGCTACCTGCATCCCCTCAGGAAGAGGCCGGACATGGCAGCATCTCTACCAAAGAGAGCTGCAAGTCGGATTTCCCACTCGTGGCTGCTGGTCACACTGGTTTGGACTGGGCATGGTGCTGAGCTTGCTGCCTGCTGTGATTTTAGCATTGTATCCTGCTTGGCTGGTTTGAGCCCTGTGCTGGACAGGGAACACACCTTAATCCTCACGGGGTCAGGCTGGTATGGTCTGTAATCTGGAGGGAGGTGGAGGATGGTGGTTTCGGGCTCTCAGCGAGCATGAGGGCTTCAGCAGAGGGTTTAGGAGCAGGTGCTTCTCCAAACCCAGACAGGATCACACCCATCCAGAACGGATGGAGACACAGTGCTGAAACCTCATCTTCATTTTGGGCTTGGGGTTTTATTTCGGCAAGTTTAGTCATGGCACATTTGGAGCCACCACGGTCACTGCGGATGCTCGCTCCAGCCCAAAGCACCTCATCTTCATTGGGTGGTACCTACACTCACCTCTTCTTCCTCCTCCACCTGCTATTAGCACCGACATGCCCACGCACAGGCAGAATGATGATTTTAAGTCATCTGGCCCATTCAGAGCTGAGTGTTTCTTCCTAATAACACCTTGTCCTGAGAAAGTTGCTATTAGATCCCTGGTACATGACAGATGGGACCCTGCCTCTCCATCAGATTGAGTGAGCTTGGTCAGCCTTGAGTTTGGGAGCTCTTTTCAGCTTTTTGTCCCCAATTTCAGCCTGTTTCTAACCATAATGGAGCAAGACTTGATGCCCCAGTGCTCCCCAGGAGCCCCACTAATAGGCCAGACCCCATTTGGGTTGTTCCTTCCTCACCCATCCTGTACCACCACTCTGTCAAGGAAAGTTTGATAGTCTCCCTAAGCTGATAATTACACCTTATTTATTACCCTGCATGTGTAATTGCAGGCAGGAACTTTTAAGAGCCATGTCAGCCTAATTACTTGCAATAGGACAAGGCATCAAACCAGTTATCAAGTCCCGCTTGGGTTTACATGAGGGTTTATTTGCTTTAGGCATGTAGCTGTAACAGCAGAGCAGGAGTATCCAATGCAGTTCCTTCCCGAGGACCTGCATTCGCCATCCCACTCGGAAGAAGGGCAGGAGATTAGTTTGGACCAGCAAAAAATGCTTTTAAAGCTGCTAAATGCAACAAAAAATCCCTTTTTATCCTTTCTTCTTCCCAAAATAAAGGTGTTTGCTTGCTGGAAGACTTCATAGCTAGCAATGCAAGAGCAATGCACCCCATAAAACTCCTCTTTCACTTGTGCTCCTCCTGCCCACATTCCCCCCAGCTTTTCATTAAATGTGCTGCCCTATAAATATCTGCCTCACTGAGGCGTGCTAGATGCCTCCTCCATAGAGAGCAATAAAGCCATGGATGGGCTCTGCTTCACCCAAGCTCCTTCATCCTCACCAGTGGGTTGGTTTCGCCTCCAAAACAAAGCCAACACAGGCAGGAATGGGCAGGAACGGGCAGTGCCTCGTGGCTCAATGAGGCCAGGCACCTGTTTGCACCTCCTAAACATGAAAGGTCAGCTTGAAAGGACTCCATAGGGGAAACATTTCCCTCCCACTCTTCGCAAGAAGGCACGTGCCTGCAAGAAAGGAGCCACAAAACAACCCCAAAACCTCTCAGCAAGCACCCATGGAGCTTCAAACCTGCATGAAGCCAGCAGCTTGGTGCTGCTTGGGGAGGAGATGTTGCGTGATGCGCATGTGAAAACCCTCAGGAAGCAGCTCGCTGGGGTTGTTTGCAAGCACCAGAGCTGGGATGAAATGAGGGCAAGCAGGGATCCATGAGCACAGGGCAGTTTCTGCAGAGCAGCTTGTCAGCTGCCAGATCTGATGTTTAAAAAGAAAGGGGAGAACTCCCCTGACCAGATTGACTCCAGCCATGAAACCACGAGCCTCCAGACATCTACGTGTGTGTGTATAAATATAGCTCTCTCTATACATGTCCTGTGATGGTTTACCATGGCTGATCTCCTACCTGATAGCATGGGGCAGAACCTGCATTGCTATGAGGCACTTCTGCCTCCTGAAAAATCCCATTCTTGCAGCATAAACCAAGGTTTATTTAGCAACACACAGGGGAGTCACCCAGGCTGTCATTGCAATGGGGACAGGCAGGTCCTTGCACTTGTCCCCAACACCAGATGGAGAGGATACCTCAGCTACCTCTCTCCTTCCTCCCCACAGATGACATTGCAATGAGTGGGTGCTTTGCCAAAGCTGCAGCAGCTCCATAGAGACCTCCAGAAGCTTGCAAAGACGCCAAGAAGCTTTGAAAGACCCCATACGGCTTGCAAAGGGCAAACCTGGTTTCCAAAAACCCCAGGAAGCTGGCAAAGACCTCATCTTACTTCCACACTAATGTCTCAAACACAGAGACCAGCGCAGTGGAGGGGAAATGGGCTCTGGCAGCCCCTTCCCCACACAGTCCAGCTCTCCTCCAATTTTCCCCAAAAACAGGGCATTCCCCTCTTCTTTGTTTCATTGTGTGCTCCCAAGGAGGTGCAGGTGAGCTCAAGCCTGGCTCCTCCCTTTGGGAATTTAGGGCCACCCAAAAATCCCGAGAGCATGTACGGTTTCAATCCCATTTTGCCAGCAGATAACACTTGCTCCACAGGTTTCCTCCTACTGGCAAGTTCCAAGGGGTTCTACCCATGCCAGCACCATCACACCAGCCAGGCCATGGGGATATAAATACACTTACATAGGATATATAAAACAACTCCCCAGTCATGCTGCTTTAGAAGTCACAGTGACCTTGGCATCTCTCTGTAAGATAGGAGGCATTTGGGGTTGTTTTTGAAGGAAAGAAGGATTTCAATACCATGTGTTTTCCTCACTGACAACTGAAAGACTAAACCAGAGAAATCAGGAACTGAAAATGGTCAAAAGAGAAGCTGCTTTTTGCTCATCTTCTTCCCAACGGATGGGTTTATACCTTGATTTCCCAGCCCACAGGTCCCCAGAGAGCACAGGGAGATGAGGCCTCCCCAGCCCATGCAATGCCAGCTGCTCTCTCTGCTTTGGGGTGAAAAGAGGGAAAATAAGGCTCATAGAGTGCTGGAAACAGAGCCTGCTTGTGCAAACGTTATCTGGGTTTGGTTTCATTTGGTTCTTTCTAAATTTCAATGATTTCTCTTCCTGGTTCCTCTTTCACCAGTGTTTTTTACTACTGGTGGTTTAAATAGGCAGTAAATAGATAAATCATGATGCTTCTCTAAAGAAGGAATACTTTCCAGCTAGATTATGGTGTCTAAACCAGATACACAGCAGTGATGCTGCCCTGACCATGATGTTCCATGGAAGGCACAGAGGTTTCTATCTTCTTCTATAGAAGAATAAAAGGTTAATAGAAGGTTTCTATTTTCTTCTGTTCCTCAGGGAGAATGGAATGGCCTTGACTAACACACACCCCATGCACCCCCCACCACTGCCCAAACCTCCATTTTCACATGCAGAAACCCAGCAAAACTGCCTCTTTTTGTGCTTAGCAACACAAAGTCCTCATTCACATTTGTTCAGGTCATGGCAAACACCCTCCAAAACCAACCAAACCCAATAAAGTAGGATCTGCTTCAGATGGGAAACAGGGTTTGAGTTTCCTTCCTACACCCCAGCCACAGAGGGAAGAGAGAGCACTAAGAGGAAGAGGGAAGAGAAGCCCAAAAGGGATATAAATAGGGAACATCAACCTGAACATTTCTGCTCCTCACTAATTGCTTGTGGCTTTCCAAATCTGGGGCAGAAGTTTGGGGTTTAAAATAAGTATTTAGCTTGATGTTAATATATAATGCAAAGGCCTGCGTGGGCAGCAATTGCTCCTGACGTGTGGAAAACCACCTCTGATTTCCCCACCTCAGCAAGTGCTTCCCTGCTTCCCTTTGCAAATAAGCAGGGAAAAAATCAAAAGGAGCGTCCTGCTCTAGCCTAAGGGCTGGAAAATTGTATTTCTTTCTTCCCAAGAGCACCCAGAGCTGCTTCTTAAAATGTATATAAAGAATGGATAACCCACAGGTGCAAACACCAGCCAAAGCACTGCAAAATCACCTCCGTGTTAGGCTGCTCGTCCCTGTTTGGAGTCAGGGAGATGCTGGAGGGGAGCTGGCGACAGCTGGGGGAGCTGCTTGCATAGCGCTGGGAGCTGGTTGGGCTTGGCTGCCCACCCCCTCCACCCCTTCCCTCCCCTTGGAGATCATTTTCATGGGGCTTTAGAGGGTCCAATCCAACTGCTTCTCTCCTTCGGAGCATGGTGGGGGCTGCAGAGTTGTCATTCCAAACTCTGAAGGCTCCCAAAGCAGCTTGATTTGCTCCAGGGTCACTTGAGGAGGAGGAGGGAGGCGTTGCCAAGGGGGAAGGAGAAGCAGCTGGGTGCTGCTGGGGGGCTCAGTGCCACACAGAGCAGGCGGGAAAGGGTGTGTGTGCCCATCGTCGGGGTGTCTGGGCGGCTGCAAGGGGAGATGCCGGGGGACCGCACGCTCCGGCTGCAGCACGGGAACCGCATAGAGGCCCTGTGTGTGCTGGGCACCTGCATCTCAGCTGATGTCTATGGGTGAGTGGCACACCCCAACCCCCCGTGTCCTCTTCCATCTCTGCACCCCACCTTCCTGCCTGTCTTCACCCCCCATTTATCCCTCTGCAAATCCCCCCTCCTCATTTTTCCTTCTGCTTCCCCAAACTCCACAGCCCCAACACTGTGATTTAATGCATTTTGTGGGCAAAATGCTCCCTGGACTTTGCAAAGCTGGACAAGACCCAGGAAAGCTTCAAGCATTAGTGTTTGCATGATGTGGTGCTTACCTGATGGTGATGGGTTTGAGCCATTTGTGGTCAACTGATCCAGTGTCATCTTGGAAAGCTGCTGCAGCAGGAGCCAAGGGGATGGGCTGCAGAGCAGGAGATGCAGCTGGGAGAGGGGAGGGAAACAAGATGTAGTTAGCGAGCAAGGAGCACCCCCACACCACCAACCCTGCTCCCCTAAGTCAAACCAAGCCCTCTACCTCCAGATATATTTCCCCCTCTCCAAAGGTTGTTTCTGGTCTTTGCTGCTTTTGCAAAGCTTACCCTCAATATTCAAGCCAAGCAGCACAGTTACAACTCATCTGGCACCTCTCCAGGTGAAATCTCCTCCCAGTGGGATTCCCAAAACCCAGAAACAAGGAAACCAAACCAGTTTTTCCATGCATAATTAAATGTAATTTAATAACTTCAGAAACACCCAGGCAGCAGCAAAGGAGCACTCAGATTTCCTCTCCCCACTCCCAGTGCAGGTTGGGGGGAGGGGGGCTGTTGGCATCCAGAAACCCAATAAATGATGCTGTAACAGTGATACAGTGTTAGCCCTTGGGTGTTGGGATCAAAGGGAGCCTGCACCTCATGAGCTGCAAATAACAACCCTGGAAAGATAGGGACATTAGGGAAAAGGAGCCAGGAGAGGAGAAAGAGATGTGCAGAGCAAGGGCTCATTGGACTGGGAGTGGTGCAACTCCTGCTTCAGGGTTGACCAAAATCACCCCCACAATTAGAGTTTCCCATGGTGAAGTCCAGCTGGGTTGTCCCACTGTCAGGATGAGCTGTTAAATGCTGGGTTTGTCTCAGCTGGAAAATAAACATGGATTTCTCCCCTGAAGTACAAACCCAAGGTCAGTTCCAACAGCTCTGAGTGCTTTGGACTGGGGTTATTACAGATTGTAATCTGCACCCGTGGCTATAAAATAGCCTCATTTTGTTAAAATAGCATGTTCTGTCCTAAAAAGCAAAAGTATAAAGACACTTGAAGCATTCCCAGGCAGGGAGAAAGGGCAGGAAGGTGCCAGCGGGGAGCGTGGCGACGCCAGCGTGCCCGGTCTTGGTTGTGTTCTGGGCAGTGGAATTAATTGCAGTGAGAGCCAGGTGATTTTGGTGCAAAGCACTTACACCAGCGTGGTTTTGGCAGGGCGGCCCCAGCCGGGGCAGTTTCCTTCAGTGTGAAGCACACGGAGGGGGTGAGTGTGGAGGTGAGATGCCAGAGCCCAGCGGAGGTCGGGCCAGCCCCTGGCAGTGGGACACGGTGGCCGCTGGACAAGGGGACGGTGCTGAGGCTCAGCATGAGCCGGGCCAGCAGTGAGGTCAATGATAACAAGGTGAGAAGTGGGGTGTTGGGGTGTGGGATCTCCAGAGGGAGAACTTCCTTCCCAAACCAGGGATTTGGGGGTTTGCAGGTAACAGTCAGCTTTTATGCAGAGGAAGGGCAGCCCATCAACCAAGCTGGGGTCTTCCTCACTGGCATTGGTGAGTACAAAGGCTTCTGTGGAGCAATCCATCTTCACCCCCTTGATCCCTTGGAGGAAGGTGCTGTGATGTGGGAGGCAGAGATGGACCCAAGTTTACTGGATCTGGGGAGCTCTTGCTGTACCCAACCTTGCTGTACCCTGGGATGAGGGTGAGGTCTCTGCATCCAGGGATCTCTCTGGACGTCGACGCGGATCGGGATGGCGTGGTGGAGAAGAACAGCCCCAATAAGGTAACTCACCCTCTTGCACTGCATGGGAAGTCCATGGGCTTGCAGAGCCTGAGCTCACTAAAGCCCAGTGAGGTGTTTCAGGCAAGCTGGACCTGGGGTCCTGAGGGCCATGGGGCCATCCTACTCGTCAGCTGTGACAAGGAGAACCCCTTCACTGTGGCATCAGACTGCGATGATGAAAGGGTGTTCAGCAGAGAAGGTAACTACAACGTTCTATGTACATATATATATAAAGAAGGTATCATAGAAAGCAAAAAATGCTATGTTATTCCCCCTCTTGAACCCTTTTGGAGGTGAAATCTTGCTTGGAAACCAGCTGTCCGTGAGCTGCTCTCTACCAAGCTGCTGAGTAAGCTTCCTACATGGGAATTCTCCTTGTTTAATGCCATCCAAACTAATTGCGGTCAAGCAGGCCACGAAACCCAGCCAGAAGCACAGCAGAGGTGCCACTGACAGCAGAGCTTGGCCCAGGGATGCTTCACACGGGTGAAAGGAGCTTGGGGCAAGGCATGAGGCAGGAACACACCCAGGTTCCTGGAAAACTCCAACCACACGGAGCCAATGCCCATCACCTTTTTGAGGCCAAGGACTGGCTGTGCCAGGGCGGTGAGGGGAGGGAAAGGGGCACTTGTTTCAAAGCACAAGCCCCAGGCTTTGTTAGCAGCTTGTTGTTCCAGCTTGCAAAGGCTGGTAGCAAGGGAAGAGCTTGGTAGGGGAGATGCAAAGCCCAGGAGGGAGGGTGCAGACCAGCCAGAGCTGCATGGTGCAACAATCCATCACCCAAGTTCCTCTTCTTTGCACCCAGATTTGCTGGACATGTCTCGGATGGTGTTGAGGACTGAAGGGCCCCAACGCCTGCCCCAGGGGTATGAAATCATTCTCTATATTGCTGTCTCCGAAGCTGATAAAGTTGGGGTCTTTTATGTGCAGAGTAAGTCCTTCCTCACCTCCTCCTCTATCCCTTCCTCCTTGCTTGTGGTGCTTTTGAGATTCCTGCAAGCCCTTTGCTTTCCATCTCTGCCCTTTCCTCTCCATGCTCTTCAAATGGCACTTCTGAAGGCCTCTGCATCCCTTTTCCAGTTTTTTTCCAGCACTGAATATTCTCTTCTCTACCAAATGGAAAACTGGACATGAACAAGCAGAGGCCCAGAGCCATAAAGCCATTTATCAAGCTCATCCAGCACAGGAGTAGCAGAAAAAGCCATGTGTCCTGCCACCCAGATGTTTTATTACGATCACAACACACTCTACAACACATTTCCCCTGCTTGTTCCTTGTTGTGGCCACAGTGATTTATCTCCTGTGACCAAAGCCCTCATCCAGCCCAGAAACGTGGGTCTTCTCCCTCCATGCAGAGGTAGTCCTTCATCAGGAGGGGTGGTGGTATTGTCAGTGGGGGCTGAAACAGCAGAAACCCCATGAAAACACCTTCCCAGCGACTGCTCCATCCAAGGAAAGGCTGAGACACTTCTTCCTCACCCTTCTGGTGCATGATTGCCAAACTGAAAGCCCCTTAAGGTTTTAAGGTCCTTCTTCCAGGTGAAGTTGCATCCACCCATAGAGGCAGAGAAGCTCCAGCACAGAGTGATCGCGGTACCTCCTTGCACACACTTGAAACCACCACAGAAACATTGGAGGTTGCCATCATCCCCTTTCTCCTCTTGCAGACCCCTTCTTCGGGCAGCGGTACGTGCAGGTGCTGGGCCGCAGGAAGCTCTACCACACGGTGCAGTACACTGGTGGGGCTGCTGAGCTCGACTTCTTTGTCGAGGGGCTCCGCTTTCCTGATGACACCTTTCCTGGGCTGATCTCCATCCATGTCAGCCTCCTGGAGACGCTGGCTGAGGTCTGGGGGCTCCAGGGAAGGGGTGAAGGTGGGAGGCTGCAACAGGGGCATGGAGAAGGGGATGGGGATCGAATGGAGAATGGTCCCCACTAATTTACCCCAAAAATGACCTCAGGGATTGGGTATTAGTATGAGGTGTCCCTGCCCATGGCAGAGGGGGTTGGAACTAGATGACTTTAAGGTCATTTCCAACCCTAACTATTCTATGATTCTATTCTATGATTCTATTTAGGGGGGAGAGTGGTAAACAGGGTATGAAAGCTCCCCAGTTTCTGCTTGCCTCCCCCAGGGTATCCCTCATGCACCAATCTTCACTGACACAGTCGTGTTCAGGGTAGCACCGTGGATCATGACCCCCAACACTTTGGCACCGGTGAACGTCTTTGTCTGCAGGTAAAGGCCAAGGGAAAAGTGGGGAGGCAATGGGCAGGGGAAAAGTCATCTTCATCCCCATCCTTCCTGCCATCCACTTTCCCAGTATGAAGGATAACTACCTCTTCATCAAGGAGATAAAAAACCTGGTGAACAAGGCTGGCTGCGAGCTGAAGGTTTGCTTTGGCTACATCAACCGTGGGGACCGCTGGATGCAGGTAGGTGGGCACTAGAGTGGGGACAAAGCTTTCCCAACCTGCTGATGTGCCCCACACAGGTTTTCCTCCCTTTTTTAGGATGAGATTGAGTTTGGCTATACCCATGCTCCCCACAAAAGCTTCCCAGTGGTGCTGGACTCCCCTCAAGATGGAGGGCTGGAGCAATTCCCCATCAAGGATCTACTGGTAAGAGCAGGACAGTTGCTTGTATTCCCTGAGCAGCAGCTGAGCCTATTCCACCACTCCTAAAACCCTACTTGAACTTGGCTCCTTGGAGGGCCTACAGTGAATTTGTTTGAAACATGAGAGTTTAACACCTCTGCATGGAGATACCACCCCACCCACTTCCAGCTGGGAGGATGCCAACAGCCTCAACCCCTCAAACCAAGATCAGAGCCTAACCCACAGCCCATCTGGAAAGCCTTTTATCCAGAAGGTGCAGGATGAGAGGGAAAAGGAGGCTGTCATGCCTCTGGGAATGAAAGATTCCTGCCAAGCTCCAGGAGGAGAGTGGATTTCTTCACCCTAAGTATCCCAGCAATGGGCTGGTTTTTCTTTTTCTCCTCTATGCCTGTGAATATACAGCAGCTCCCAAGCAGGAGAGGAAGGGAAAACACAAGAGGAGTCAATTTACTTCCTTGAAAGAGAACAAGATGCAGGCAGCTGCCAAAAACATCCCTGTGGGGCTGCTTTGCCAAGGCAAAGGGCCAGTCATGGGCAGAGTGTGCAAAGCAAGCTGCCTGGGAAAGCAGTGAGCATTCGGGGAGAGACCAGGAAAGACAAGCAGGGGAAAATGATGGATTGAATGATCCCTTTGGAATACCACCATGCAGAAAGGGCAGAGCATCCCCAGATTGCTGCCACATAGACCCAGCCAGGCAGCAGCAGTAAGGGGAGAAGAGGGCAGCTCACTTTGTGCTGCACACCACTTTGGGGAAGGTGAAGAGCTTTCTAAAGCATTGAAATGCATCATTTCTCATCCCTGAAATGAGTACACCCAGTCCCAGAACCATCAGGCAGGATGGGAATAGCACACTGATTCACTCCTATCCATCCTCATTAGGAATTGTTTTGCTTCATATTTAGGAAGCAATTTCAGCCTCTGGAGCTGCTAACACTTTATACTCCAATTGCTGCTCTGAAGGCTTCTCTAATCCCCACTCTTCTCTTTCCCATCTCATTTTCCAGTTAGGAATATTTAGCCAGACATGACACATACTTGTCCTGTCCTCACCCCAGCCAAGCCCAAAGCCGGTGGGACCCTGTGCCAGGGAAAAGGAGATGAGAGGGAATTAGCCCCTCAAAATCAGTCTGGAACTGATAGGACTTGGATGTGACCCACAAACCTGGGATGAACCAGGACCTTGACAGTTGAAACCATACCAGCTCCGTTGTTTATTACACTGATGTAAGCTCAGAGCTTGTGTTTCATAATCAGTCCCCCCTACAGCACCCAGGGAAAGGATTTAATCCTCAGACATGCACCCCAAAAATACACAGGAGGTCTTGGGGAAAGGCAATCCTGGTGCACTTTCCCAATCCCAGCTTCTCAAACACCTTTGAATAACAAAAAGCAACTTTTAGATCACCTTCAGCTCTCTCTGCTCATTTTTAGGAAGCTGCGTATCTGTTTTACCCCACAGAAACCCAACACTGGCAAGTGACTGGGACTTAATGCAAACTCAGCAGACACCTGATCTCATCCCAAGGCTCCTGGGAGCTCCAAACCCATACTGAGTTGATCCAGAGTTCAAGGACAGGTTCAAGGCAGGATTTTTGTCCCACCTCTGTCATTTTCACCCTGTTTTTAGCATTGCAATCTGCCCCTTGGGCATTCCAGCCACATCACCACAAGGGTTCATTACCCCTGCATGCACAACGCCTTAAACCCCAAATACATTAAGTCCTGAAAATCAGAGCTTAAGTAGGATTTAAGTGAAGTGCAGCCCTGATGCCTGGGGTGGATTTCCCCTACGGGGCTGAAGTTCCTCTAGCTCAACAAGAGCCACCCAGAAACTCAGCTTCAGGGCTACCCCAGCACCTAATTAGCTTAATGCAGACACAAAAACATTGGCTTTGGGACAGCAGAGACCTGTCCCACCTCTGCCCCTGGCATTTGCCACTTATCACTGAGCCCAGACAATCCAGAGACCGTTATCCTCTCACCTTTCCTCTATTCTTTGCCTCGTCTCTGACATTTTCTTGCCTCTCCCCATCCATGGACAGGCTTCTCTCTTCATGGTTTGTTCCTACTGGAGTAGGTCTGACCCCAGCACGAAGGAAAAAACTAAAGACATGGAGGCAGGGGAGACCCAGGGCAAAGCTCACAGTGATTTCTCTTCCTGCAGGGCCCTGACTTTGGCTACGTGAGCAGAGAGCCCCTCTTTGAAGCCATCACCAGCCTTGACTCCTTTGGCAACCTGGAGGTCAGCCCACCCATTACCGTGGCAGGGAAGGAGTATCCCCTGGGAAGGATCCTCATTGGCAGCTGCTTCCCCACGTAAGAGCTGGGAAACCATTTGGGAGCAAAGGAACCACAGGTACCTCCTAAACATCCTCAAAATCATGTTAATGGGCTGAATTAGCTATTCCCTGGTGAGCTGCACATGTGGTTCTCTATGGGATGGGTGCACTCAACAACCAGTGCTCAATCTCTGCCATCATATTGCACATTCCTTTCTCTTCTCCACCTCAGCAGTGATTTATGTGTACATACATATTAATGCATTCATATTTATCCCCCTTATCCCTTTCTCTTGGGGATATTTCCCCCCCTCCAGCTCTGCAGGGAGGAGAATGACCAGAGTAGTGCGGGATTTCCTCTGTGCCCAGCAAGTGCAGGCTCCCGTGGAGCTCTACTCAGACTGGTTGGCTGTGGGCCACGTTGATGAGTTCGTCACTTTTGTGCCCACCTCTGACAAAAAGGTACCCCAAAACCCCCACACCACTCTCTGCTGTCTCTTCTGAGATACTAGTCCCATTGGGACACCTCTAAGGAAAACCCCAAAGCACATTTCTTTGATAGACCCAGCCAGTATTTGCTTGGGGGTTCACTCTTGTCTCCAAAACTGAGGGTTCTGAAAGTAAAAAGGGACTTGCTGAGGTAATAATCAACACAAAGAGGAGAAAAAGGCACCTGCAAAGGCAGTCCGAGAAGTTTAAAGCTCAGGATCCACATGGGCTGGCCAGGGCTCTCAGCTGCTCAGCACCTCCCAGGTGTTCTGAGAAGCTCTTTTCTTTGTCACTGGTTTTAGTGTTTCTGATACAAGAATTTTCCACCTGAGGAAAAAAACCCACCTTGACCTGGATGGTTCAGAAAAGGAGTATTTATACACACATCCACCCCCAAACCTTCCATGCAAGCTTTTAGCCCTCCCCGGGACTGTACTAAGCCCCCATAAGAGATGCCATCAAGACTGCAGTAAGCAGCTTCTAGTGCTCCACTAAGGAGACCATTTACACTGGTAGGAAGCAAGTCAGGTCACACACGGCACTCAGACCCTACAAATCCATCATTCCTATGGGATTAGCTTAATAATGATTGTTGGCTTCTCCTGAGGAAGTCAGAGCCTGATTAGTCATTTGTTCCATCCTTCCCCCTGAACTGCAATGTCAGAAACAAGACACAAAACCCAGCTTAACAACAGCAGTGCTCCTCACCCTCAATCTCAGCCCACCCAAACCTCCACCAAACTCACTCAGGGGGTTTGCAAACCCCACTTGAGGTGGGCAGGATTGGACCCAGCTGCAGCCAGGCTGCAGTTTTCCTCCCTGCCCCAGCAGCAGTTTAACCCCTCAGGGTGTGATCTGGTCCATATTTGCCAACAGCATAAATCACTGAACCTCATTCCGATATAACCTGTCACCATGCATTAAAAAAAGACACTGAATAACATCAGAAACACCTGATTTTAAGAGTTTGAGCTCAGGTTCCTTGCAGAAATAAGCCCCTGAGGTCCCCGGAGTGAAGCCAGTTTTGGTGACTGCTCTCCCTCCCTTCTCTCATCCTCCACCCCAGCGGTTCCGGATGCTGATGGCCAGCCCTGCGGCGTGCTACAAGCTCTTTCGGGAGAAGCAGAAGGAAGGCCAGGGTGAAGCCACCATGTTCAAAGGCAAGGGGACAACGGGTGGCTTTGGCTGAGCTTTGATGTCAACTGAGACAACTGGAGCCTCCCCATAGAGCAGCCGGGCTGAGGGCGGCAGCGCCTGTCTGACTGCGGGGACTGGGGGACATGGGGACCTTTTCCCACCCCATTGTCCTTCACTGCTGGCAGGCGGGATGCCTGCCCACCATTCCCAGCCTCCTCAAGCCCTATTTTGGGAAAGCAAGTGGGATGGGAGGGATAAAGCCCTCTGCATGGAGGGGATGCTTGCTTGGTGGGATGGAGCATCTGTAAATGCCAGTACGGAGCAGGACGAGCACTCCCACGTCACTTGTCCTTCCCTCCCTGCAGCAATGACATTTTGGTCACCAGTTTGAGCACCCTTTAATTGTGGTTTTGAACATCATGCACCTGCAGTGGTGTGGGGAGAAGGTCTGCATACCTCCATGGGTCTCTCTGGGTCACTGCCATCCCCAAACAAGGAGCACCTCTGTGGAGGTGGCAGCTCCGAATGGAGCTGAATGGAGAACTTTAGCAGATTATGAGTCCTGTGGGATGACAGGAACTTTCCAATGCACTTTCCAACAGCCAAAGGTTTTCTTCCCACCCAGTTTCCCAATAAACTAAGAATTGGGACCCCAAGCTCAGGAAATAGGGATTCTGGGGACTTTTCCCATCTCTATTCCCCATTTTAAGCCAGAATTTCACTACCACCGCTTCATTTGAAGGGAGTTTGCCTTTGTAGGGTACTCAGGGACAGACACAAAACGAGTCACCATTAACAAGGTCCTTTCCAACAACACTCTGATGCAGCAAAACCAGTACGTCCAGGTAAGAAGTGATATTTCTGGTAAGAATTGCTATTTCTTGCAATAACTGCCCCAGGGGGGTGCAAACCCTTAAGGGAGGTGTTGAATTCTGGCTCTCCTCCTGTGGTAAGATGCTTTGGGGACCATATCTACCTGTGTCCCCCCTCTCCATCCCCTCCAGCGCTGCATCGACTGGAACAGGGATGTCCTCAAGAAGGAGCTGGGGCTGCTGGAGGAGGACATCATCGACCTGCCGGCCCTCTTCAAGCTTGACAAGCAGGGCAAAGCCGTGCCGTACTTCCCCAACATGGTGAGGGGGAGCCCCGCTCCTTGGGTCCTCTCCAAAACCCAGCTTTTCAGTCAGGATGAATCCCAATTTGTCCCCATAAAGCACAATATTGACACCTGCCTGGAAAGAGAAAATATCCTCAGCCAGGCCCAGATGAGTTCAAATCTGCTTGTGGTGGGGTTAAACTGTGTCATTTTGGGGTTAAACTGTGTCATTTTGGGGCAAAAAGAGGGGAAATCACACAGCATGGGGTGAGTTTAATGATAAAAAAAGGGGAAAACAACGTTGGGTTTGGAATCCTGGGGGAAAGCAGCTGCAAAGAGCGCTGTGGATGCCCCATTTTGGGGTGAGGCTGCCGGAGGAGGGTGATGAGCACCTTCCCTTCAGCTCCATCAGCGCCAGCGCCACCGGGGCCCCTCTCATGTCACCCCCGCAGGTCACCATGATCGTCCTGGCCAAGGACCTGGGCATCCCCAAACCCTTCGGCCCCATAACGGGGGGTGAGTGCTGCCTGGAGCGACAAACCCGCTGCCTCCTGGAGCCTCTGGGGCTGTGCTGCCGCTTCCTCGAGGACGTGTGCTCCTACCACGGCAGGCTCGGGGAGGTGCGCTGCGGCACCAACGTCCAGCGCCGGCCCTTCGCCTTCAAATGGTGGCACGTAACGCCATAGCCGTGCCGCCGCCTCCTCCTGCTCCTTCTTCCACCCCGAATGGCTTCTTCCGTGTGTGTTGCTTGCAATCCAGTTAATAAATGAATTTGCTGTGAGGAAAGAGGCGGGGAGTTAAAGAATAATGGGGAATAACTGTAAGGGGAAGGGAGGGAAGCCCTCGGGGATGGTGAGGTAGGGGGATGCCGTTTCGCCCTTGGCATGGGGTTGGGGCAGGTGGGGGGGTCTGAGCGCCTCCCCTGCAACAGAACGAGACTGGGAATGCACAGAAGGACGCACTGTTTTCCCACTTCCCAAAAACAGGTGGGATCTGGGAATCCCGGCCCCGCCATCCCGCCTCGTACCACAGGGCGCGCCGCGCTCAACATGGCGCCTCCCCTCAGGCCGCCGCCACTCCCAAGATGGCGGCGGGCAGCGCCCGGCCCCTCCTTCCCCGCCTGAGGGAGCACGGGCGCTTCCTTCCGCCGCGGAACTGCGCAGCGCCAAGATGGCGGCGGCCGTGGTGGGAGTCTCCTTGAGGCGCGGCGTCCCCGCGCGGCTGCTGCGGGCCGGGCCGCGGCCGGTGAGGGGGGGGGAGCTGCCGTGAGCAGGGCAGCGGGCGGGGGGACCTCGGTGGGGGGCGACGGGAGAAGGGGCTGAGGGCTTGGGGCGACAGAGAAGGGCCTGGGGGGCAGGAGGGGGTGCAGAGGGGTCTGGGGAGGAGCTGGGGGGCAGGAGGGGTGCAGAGGGGCCTGGGGAGGAGCTGGGGGTCAGGAGGGAGTGTAGGGGGCTCGCTGGGGGCAGGAGGAGGTGCAGAGGAGCCTGGGGAGGAGCTGGGGGTCAGGAGGGGTGCAGAGGGGGCTGGGGAGGAGCTGGGGGGCAGGAGGGGCTCAGAGGGGCCTGGGGAGGAGGTGGGGGGCAGGAGGGGCTCAGAGGGGTCTGGGGAGGAGCTGGGGGGCAGGAGGGGCTCACACGGGTCGGGGGAGGAGGGGGGGGGCAGAAGGGGGTGCAGAGGGTCCTGAGGAGGAGCTGGGGGGCAGGAGGGGGTGCAGAGGGGCCTGGGGAGGAGCTGGGGTGCAGAGGGTCCTGGGGAGGAGCTGGGGGGCAGGAGGGGGTGCAGAGGGGCCTGGGGAGGAGGTGGGGGGCAGGAGAGGGTGCAGAGGGGGCTGGGGAGGAGCTGGGGGACAGGAGGGGGTGCAGGGGGGTCTGGGGAGGAGCTGGGGGGCAGGAGGGGGTCAGAGGGGCCTGGGGAGGAGCTGGGGGGCAGGAGGGGGTGCAGAGGGGCCTGGGGAGGAGCTGGAGGGCAGGAGGGGGTGCAGAGGGGGCCGGGGAGGAGCTGGGGGGTAGGGGAGTGCAGGGGGCTCAGGGGAGCTGGGGGTTGTGAGGGGTCACAGAGGGGCCTGGGGGTGTTTGCAGAGGGGCCTGTGGGGCAGGAGCGGGTCCAGCACACAATACAGGGTGTGAAGATGGTTTGGAGTGGGTAGGAGAAGGGGGAGCTTGGGGAAAGAGGATGTGTTGGGAATGCTGGGGAAGATCTGGGGACAAAATAGAGTGGGAGCAGGGTTGGGAAAGGGTTTATGGGGAGATAGAGGTTGTCAGGAAATGGGGGTTCTGTGGGAGGCCCAGAAGGGGGTTGGGAAGAGATGTGGGAACAGGAGGAATAGGGATGGGGGGTAATCTGGAGAGAGGTGGATAGGGGCAGGTGGCCTGGAGTGGGAGTGCCGTGGGGAGGTGGTTTGTGAGCCTGGAGCTGGGTAGGGAAGTGACTGGGAGCTTCTGAGGGCAGTTTTGGGGCAGGAAGGAATGCCTGCAGGCACCTTGTTTTAGCACTGTCTCCTCTCCCGCATGAAGGAGGCAGCTGCATGCGCTAGGATCCAGTGCTGCAGCAAAGCCTTGCGAGGCTATCCCATAAACTGCCCAAATCCAACGCAGCCATGGCTCCTGCGGCTCTCACCCCAACCGTGTGGCCTCAGGTCCTTTTGGTGCCTGGCTAAAAGCCACCCGAAGGGACCTCAGGGCTGCTTTGCTTGTTGAATGCAGGTGTGCCGGGGAGCGCAGACGGCAGCCGCGGCATCGCCCCGTCTCAAGAAGTTTGCCATCTACAGATGGGATCCCGATAAGCCTGGGGACAAGCCCCGCATGCAGACCTATGAAGTGGATTTGAATAAGTGAGTGTGGCCCATTAGGGAGAAGCTTTGCTGCCAGGCAGACGTGCTGGGGCTGCCTGGGCACGCAGGTACCTGACAAGTGGTAACGGAGCAGCGCTTGAGCTGGCAGCTGAAGGTGTCAGGAGTCTCATTAAGCTTAAACCGTGTTGGAGTAGGCAGGAAGGTAGCGCCTCAGCTTGTGTTACAGGGCACCTTGTCCTCAGCACAGTTGAGATCATCGCTGTTTCCTCATAAATCTTACTAGCATCATGTGAGATGATTTCCCCTGCCTCATCTGTCAGTGCTGGGTGTGATGAATTCAGCTGTGCCCTGAAGGCCGGTGTCTCTAGCTGTCAGCAGTAACATGGTCACTTTGTTTTGTCACTTCCATGAGGTTTTTGCTGTGTTCCTGAGTTGTTTTGAAGGCTTGAAGGTGTTTGTGGCTTTGTTAAGCTTTATTTACATGGAAACTCTTGGGGTGTGTTTCATAGGGAAACTGGTTTATGTATAGCTGGCAGTCCCAAACCTGCAGATAAGATGGAAGCTTCATCCAACTCTTCACATAGTTTTCTTCCCACTTAGTTACTTCTGATACGTAGATCACATTGAACTTGCAGTAATGACCTGCACACCTTGGTGTGGCTGTCACCCAGAAAGCTCTTCTCTGTGGCCCTGTGAAGGGGTGCAATCTCATCTGTGGTGCAGACACCTTCACATGGGCACATGTGCCTTGATTTCCCTGCGCTCCAGTTGCTGCTGTGCCCCTGCCAGAGGGATTCCCCTTGAGTCCTTTCTGAAAGCTCCACATACAGAGCCACCCAGCTCCCTGATTAAGAAGCACATGGTGGAGAGCTCAAATTTTGGGGTGACTTGCACCAGTTAATCATTTGTGGGGGGTGCCTTCTCTGCTGTATCACGTAAGTTGTCTGGGAGTGTGTTTCTGTGCACAGCACTGCCTCTCGTGACCAACAAGGACAGGCAGACTTGTTAAAACCTCACCCAAAAGGACAGGACAGGTAGAGAGGTGCTCACTTTCCAGTTGTGCCCTGTGAACCCTCTGCAGCTGAGCCAGGTCTTCTGTGCATTGGCAAGAGAAAGGGCTTCTCTTCCACCAGAGGCACATGGGCATGTGCTGATCAAGAGAATTCTATCTTGATGCCTGGAATTGGAAGAACAAGTGTGGTTTTAATTGTAGTTGATAAAAGTGTTGCTTAGTTGGTGCCAGAGATCTAGCACTGAGGCGGGGAGGGGGAATTACACAGCTTCACTGACTCTGTTTTTTGTTGCAGGTGTGGACCTATGGTGCTTGATGCTCTCATCAAGATCAAAAATGAGATAGACTCCACTCTGACCTTCCGCAGGTCGTGTAGGGAAGGTAAGAAGGATTTTCCCCCTGCTACACTGGAGCTTGTCCTTGATTTGTTGTGACAGCACCCATGTAACCACTAGAAAAGTCCAGGGCAGATGGCAGTGTGCTGCTGTCCTCTTCACTTGCTGCATATGAAGCTCCCAATGAATGAAGTAGTAAAGTCAAAGCTCATCTTTGTAGGGTGTAATCACACCACACTGAGCCATGAGCAGTGTGTTTAGACAGCCCCAGTCCTTCCAGTTTGTCCTAATCTTGTTCATCTTGCTGCCCTCCAGTGACAGACTGCATCGGGAATTCCAGCCAGGGAGATGACAGCAGCAGAATTGGAGGGGCAGACATGAGTGGGATTGAATCCTAGGGGCTGCTGTGGCAATAAGGAAGGGTGTAACTGGAAGAGTACTTAGGACTTCTAGGAATAGCTTCAGGAATCTTTTTTTGGCCCTTTGACTAAGTGAAAGGACTGATTGAGGCAGAGGCCATCTGGTGGTTTTCCGTGGCAGAGCTGGTCCTCAGACAGGTACAATTCAACATGTCTGCTTAAACTGCATTAAAACTTACCTGTAAAAACTATCCCGATTCATGGGTAATGTTGGGAAGCTCAGCTTAAAATGCTAGCTGAGGAAGTGCGAGAAGGGAGGATTCCTTTATAGCTTGACTTCTGATTTAATTAGGTGGGGTTGGGAGTATGAGAAATTGAGGTGCAGTTGATGCCTTCAGATGTTTTGACTTGGATCTCAATGAAAAGCTGCTTTAAAGCAGCAGTTTCCTCTAGGATCTGCATAGCAGGTGGAGGAATTCCATGCAGTGTGGTTATTCTCAGAGTCTGATGTTGAGATAGTCAGCAGCTGACTTGCCCTGAATACTTTACTTTGAGAACCTGAAGACAGATTTTCAAGCTGGGCTGGTTCAATCTTGCCCCTTTTCTGCCACGTGGGGTTAAGAAAACCACCTGATCCCACATTCCTGTTGCATACTTGTGGGCCTGTGTCTGCAATCCCAATTCCCTCTCCAGTTGACTGGAAAATACTTGTAACCATCTCTCGAGTGGGAGGAATAACCTTGTTCAAGTGCCAGCCTTTAGCTGGCAGCGAGGGAAGGCCAGTGTGTCTGAGGCTCGCCAGTGTGTCTGAGGCTCATCAGTGTGAGGAGCAGTGGCATTTCACTGACTCATATCAGTTGATATGTGGCAAATCCCCTGAAATTAGAATTTTGCCCTTTCGACATTTGTCTTTCTTCTAATATGATGATTTAGGCATTGATTGGAATTGGACACCCGAGCTCCTGACCTGAGCAGTATCTGTGACAGTTCTGGGGTGCTGCTTTTTTCTTGTAAACCTTGGCCTTTCCTGGGCTTCATCTGATCCTTCTGTTACTGGGAGATCATTATTGGTGTCATTTAATCCATTTGTTAAGCTATTTATATGCTGTTTGTTCTGGTGAGTGTCTGTCCTCTCACCTCTGAGAGTTAATAAATACAGTTTGTGACACTGCTCTACCCTGCTACAGAAGGCACAGAGAGAAGCTTCTGGCTTAGAGACTTTATCGTATCATAGAATAGTTTGTGTGGAAGGGACCTTAAAGCTTGTCCAGTCCCAAACCACTGCCACAGGCAGGGACCCCTTCCACTAGAGCAGCTTGCTCCAAGCCCCTGTGTCCAGCCTGGCCTTGAACACTGCCAGGGATGGGGCAGCCACAGCTTCTCTGGGCACCCTGTGCCAGCGCCTCAGCACCCTCACAGGGAAGAGCTTCTGCCTAAGAGCTCATCTCAGTCTCCCCTCTGGCAGGTTAAAGCCATTCCCCTTGGCCTGTCCCTACATCCCTTGTCCCAAGCCCCTCTCCAGCTTTCCTGCAGCCCCTTCAGGCACTGGAGCTGCTCTCAGGTCTCCCCTTGAGGAGCCTTCTCTTCTCCAGGCTGCC